CATACCGGGAAAGAAGAAATAAATAGAAATGATTTCAGACGCGTAGAACTCTGATTTCGCACAAAAACCTGACATCCCACCAAGATTCATTTTTCATGAACAGAAGAACAAAGCCTATCTCTCTCTCTCTCTAGCCTTACGAATAATTAATTCGTGGATTAAATGGTGAAAACGAAACCAATAAAATTTTTTTTGAAAATAAGAAGCAAAAGTAACGTGACAAAGGAACTGTACAACTAGGAAAGAACCTATATCAATCAATACTACTCGAACCAAAAAAGGGAGAAAAACAAGAGTAAAAGGATCTTCGAATGCTCTGGAAGTTAGACCAAACTATAAACCTCGAGCACTAACAATCTAGGTCAGACTTAGAAAATCTAAGTAAGGTGTCCAAAGTACAATTATAAGCTGTCGTGAGAAAATAAAGCAGACAGTTAAAAGAGTGGTGAAGGCTTTGCTCGTTTTTGCTTCTCCTTCATCTGATAATAATGTTTCGCTCGAACAAGTTTATTTTTTACTTACAGCGCGCTACGTGATATGCATTTTCCCATTGTACAAGTGTTCAGCCCAATGAAAGGTATTTCAATTTTCAAGTTTTCAGTGCTGTAATCGGTGAGAGAAGCTGTTTCATTTTTGACGTGATCAGCGCAGTGAGCGGTGTGAAGCATATTTTCATTTTTAACGTGATCAGCGCAGTGAGCGGTGTGAAGCATCTTTTCATTTTTGACGTGATCAGCGCAGTGAGCGGTGTGAGGCGTTTTTTATTTTTAACGTGATCAGCGTTGTTTGATTTTAATTCTGAAAACCATTATCAGCGTTGTAAAGCACTGGTTTACGGGCTCAACCCAACTCGCAGCCTTCCCTGAAAAAAACAATGAAATAAAAACTATCAATTAATAGAAGATCACAAATGGAGATATGATGTGGATGTCATTTCCTTATTCAAGTACCAGTTTCAGTTTAAGTTTGAAGAGTTACAGTATAAGCTTTCTTTGTTATCACAACCTTTTATACTGATAATTATGGAATATACAATGATAAAAAAAGGTGAAGAGACTAGCTCGCACGAGAATCGTTTCTTATTCAAAAAACGTGTGTGTACATTATGGTTCCCAAGAACACAACGATTCCACCTACTAAATGAAGAATATTGAAATCGTTGTTGAATATAGCGAATGATATCACCAAAGAGATAAATTTCCTCAGAGAAATTACCATGTTAACATTTAAAGAAGAAGTCAAAGCGCTTAGGCGATAAACATTGTTTACGCAAATCCAACTGAAAAACTTGTTTTTAGCGTTTATAAAAATTAACATACTTGAGAAAAGAGGAAATCAGGAGTATCACCCAAGCTGATGGCACTGGGAACTCGATGTCAAAAAAAATGAAATTTCTTGATGAGTGAGCTGCTGTTATTGCATTAGATAAATCATCACCAAAAATTGCGAACATCGGGATGGAGAGAAAATGCTGAAAAGTAGCGACATTCGACAGAGACATTCATTCAAATCCTACAACGTATGTCATCACTTCTCGGGCATGTGGTCCATATTTCTGATACAAACGCTCTTGGCAAATTCCAAGGTATGAGCTTAGTAGCACTGCGATTGATAGAAGAGACACACCTTTTAACAATAAATTAACGCCTGTCTACTGTTCCACACACCGATAACGAATGGAGGGAAGGGTATGTGTCTCAGCCAAAGTAAATTTTCTTGAGATTGAATCTTATTAGGGTTATAACTCGCCAGTGTGAAAATAACAACTCCTGAAGAAACGATCAAGATTGTTAAAACCTGAAACTTAAATATATCTCAATAACTATTAATTAAAGACCTGTTTCAAATTGAAATATTGTCCTAAGATTCGGTTCCGTAGAATCATATGAAAGAGAAGACTACTCTGAAATCCACTCTCATACTTGGTTACAGAAAGCTATTACCGATTTGAAAACTATAAAAAGTGGGAAATAGACGTCAAACTTCAATGCATAATTATTGCAAGCACTAACAATGAAATAAATCATTATAATTTCCAAGTAGGCGCTAGAAAAGAAAATAAGATTCACGTAAATATTGAAGCGTACGTGATCGGAATTTTTCTCGGAACAGAAAAAAATTTTGTTTCGAAGATAACTCCCTCACAAGCAATGAAAACGTAATTAACCAAAGTTAGGAGATTCAGGCAATCAGGTATTTGCCTAGAAAAAAAAATCCATTTTGTAAGGCATCTGAACGCACTTTTGCATATGCTCAACTGCAGCTTGACAGCCGACGCAGCCTCCCAATGTGGAGATTATGGCTTCTGACGCCATACCTTAACACTTGGAAAATGATGACTCCCCAAAAGTGTGGAAAGGTAGAAAATGAAGCAAAGAAACTATTAATATTGAACAAAAACAAAGCGAAGTAAACTTCATAACAAATATTTTCTGTTTAATACAAAAAGTAATCACAGTTTAAAAGGAAGCAGACAGGTCGCGAGAGTTATAAAAGTACCGGTATAAAAACTTAATTAAGTAAAGCTGTTAATCGGGAATATTAGATAGAAATTCTTGGCATTCAAATTTGGTTTTCAACAATAATGTATTGTATGCTAGGAAAGAAATTTTGATGGAGTGATACTATAAATTGAAAATGTGAAAAGTATGGTCACTTGAATGATATGAAAAGAAGTTATTACAAAACTATGAACATAGTACATGAAATACATTAATTAACAGGATGAAGTTCAGTCTTTCTCAGATTCACCTATATCGGAAGCTTCCGAAATAAGAACTTCAGGAGTGGAATGATCTGTTGACCTAATAAGGTCGTCAGACAGAGGTCCTGTTGGGCTTGGTATAGAAGAAACAGACATATACAACACATCTGAATCAGCTGACTTCTGAGGTAATGACGTCGGTCGTTTCTGGAATGAATATTTTAAAATGAAGTGCAAATCTATTTCTAACTATGTTAATTGGCGAATCGTCGAACACGTTTAAAGATAGATCATCTTGCGGTAGGTCAGGAGTTTCTCTGTCATTGTTAGCACAATCTTGTAAAGCAGAGCAATAGTGAAGCATTAGGACAGCCAAAGCCTGCAGTCGTTCATCTAACCCTTCGAAAGAATCTGTTGAGCCCTAAAAGTCAGGAATCGGTGCAAGTTCTACTATTCCTATTTACCTCTTTTTTCATCGCTTCTGATCTTCCATTCTTCGTTTCCTCGATAGCTGATCTTATTACATCTATCTGCTGATTAACTTTAAGCAGCCTTTGTTTGGCTGATAAATCAGCAAATATTTCTTTTCCCAATCGTTTAGCGTTGGCAATAATTTCTTCGTTATAAGCATTTCCCGGTTGAAAACTCAATCCATGGACGAACGGGGAGCCATCAAGACGATTTAGTACATCAGGAATACAATCCTAAAGTATTCAAATGAATATGCTCACAAGATTCGTCCAACCTGAATGTTTCTGACAGGACTCGAAATCGTCGAATCTGATGGAGCAATAACACTATCTGCTGTGCTCTGAGAGTTTCGAGAGAGTGTTTCTATTTCGCTATCATCCTTTTTGCGCCCTCTTCTCCAATAGGAGAATTTCTCCGAAACTTTACTTTTTAGTCTTGCTCTTCGAGACACAGAATCAGTAGTTTCATTAACCGAAACAGTGGGAGGCGTTGTTTGGGATGTAGAAGAAATAATAGTCTCAGTACATTCATCATCCATATTATTGCACGAGCTGTTGTCCAGATCAAGCTGAAAAAGATAGCATGAGGGATAATAGAAAGAAAGTTTCTAACATCATCGAACCCATTGTCATTATCTACAAGTGAGCTTGGAGTGCATATAATACCGGTGTTCGCTTTTTCGACACATTTTATATGACAAATTACTAAACATCGTTGACAACAGTTTGCTGACTTCAACCAGATCTTTCCTCTACACATGGCGCAAGTTGTACCTTAATTCGTTTGTTTTAATTACATCCATTGATCAATAGGACACAACCTGCAGTTTTTACGGACCATGGTTTCCAAAGATGTTGGCTAGCAACTCCGATCAGTGGAGGTGAATTAGAACGAACGCTGTCCTCAACATCAACGTCATTCTCACAATTTCTAAATAGGTATTATATAAAGTCGTAGAAGACAACGCTTACCCTTGATCACCAGCATTTAGGTTGGCATCAGAAGGTAACCCGTTAGGGAAATAGCGAAAGCCTAATGTTATATCTCCGTAACACAACCGCGGATCAAACCCGGCATGACGAGCGAACTCCGTGGAATTCACACTACAAGCGCAAAAAAAAAATTGGAAAACTGGAAATGGAATTACCCATTCAACTCGGTGATGGAGCTTATTCCTGTGGGGGGTTTCAAGAAAAACACTTCTCGATGACAGTTAGAGAGGGTCAAACGGCAATCGTCGATCAACTGTGGAATGTACAGAGACGTCTGCAGCAGCAATTAACAAAAGAGTTCAAAATAGAGTCTTACATATCCTAACAGAATAGGCTTCTTAGGTTCATTGAAATCTCCTTCGGAAGGAGACATATTCTGTTTGGCATGTATAGTAACGTTTAGGTATTTGTTTCCTCCTGAACGGGAAGCTAGTGCGCCATCTAAATCGAAATGAAGTGACTGCCCCCAGAGAACATCCTATAAGTCAAAAAAATTAAATGTTCCATAATGCATCACTAACTTGTTCGAAATGAACAGCTTTCGTTGTTCTGGAATGAATAGTTCCAACAGAATTGGTAGGTGATTCGTCTAAAGCGCTCTTGGAACTTCCAGCTCGAGAAGATATTCTGGAACTCCTTACAATTAAACTAAGGCTGATGAAAAATCGAGCACTTCTTTTTCTGTTTCTTCTTATCTTTTTTATCTGTGATGCTGATCTCTGTCGGACTTCTTTTTCCGGAACTGGGAGCAGGAGAACGAGAATGAGACTACAAATATTATGTTTTGCTTTCATAAACTGCGTTCTATCACCTCGCGTTCAGTAGGATCAAGCAAGTCTCCCTCGTTTACTTCAGAGCCAACTTCAACTGGATCTCCTCCAACCTTCTTTTTTTGAGGAATGAAATCTAGAACCTTCCGTTTTCCAGCTTGGAACGTTGCCTGAAGAGAACACCCTAATAAACAACGATAATTATCAAAATTACATGAATTCGTTGTCGAGTTGATGACGGTCTGTTACGTGATAAGCGAGAATCGTCATCTTCCCCGTCTCCATCAGTGTTGTCAGTTCTACAGGAAGTAGTTGATAAGAGAGAGACAGTACTGCCCGCCTACAAATAGAATATTTCCAAAATTGGTTTATTATAACTGATACCGTTGGTAACCCGGGAACGTCTTTCAATGTCATGTCCTGTTCGCTGATTAAAGGAGTTGTTGGCTCTTCAACTGGGACGCGCATTTGATCAGAAATTATCTTTCTCTCTGAACATGACAAAATATATGAACAGAACAATGTTATGAATTTTACTCATGACAGGCTCGAGATTATTATCCTGTGATACATTAGGAGACACTTCACTTCCAGACTTAGCGTCCAGTTGGCTTTCTGATCTTGTTCTTCTCAAATCCAAACTTGGTTGACTAACAAGAACATGAGGTACACGAGCACTTTCGGCCCTTTGAACCAGCAAGGATCCATTCAATGGTCTTTCAAATCGAGAGTCTAAAATGGGAAATTTGACACCACTCATTAACCAATCTACTTTTTCAATTTTTTTCATTTATATCGACATTGTATTATGTATTGTGAACTCAAAATAAAAAATTGCGGGTATAAAATTTCATTCCGAAAAGGACATTCAAGTACAAAATGATGCTTAACGGCGGCTTCCATCCTCGAAGAAAACTCCACCATCGAGGGCGCAGTACTTGGGGCAAATTCCGCGTTCTCCGTCATTTCCATCGTTTCCTGGTTGCCCTGGAGTTCCTGGAAGTCCATCGCGTCCTGGTTGACCTGGTGCTCCAGCATCTCCCTTCTCTCCTGGTCCTCCTGGTTGTCCATCCTTTCCTGGCTCTCCTGGCTGACCGCGTTGACCTTGCATTCCTGGTCTTCCTGGTTGTCCTGGAGCTCCTGGCTTTGGTTCTCCTTGGGCTCCATTGTCTCCTGATGGTCCAACTGGTCCTGGCTTACCAGGTGGTCCAGGTGGTCCTGCAGGTCCCTTGTGTCCTGGTCCTCCTGGAGGTCCGTCTGGTCCCTTTCCTCCTGGTCCTCCTGGGGCTCCTGGGAAACCTGGTTGTCCTGATGGTCCTGGTGGTCCTGGTGGTCCGGCTGGGCATGGCTTGCATGGTGGTGGAGTGATTGGTTCGCATGGTTGCTGTGGTGGACGTCCTGGGTTTCCTGGTTGTCCTGGAGCACCTGGTCGTCCAGGCTTTCCGGGCTTTCCTGGGGTACCGGCTGGTCCAGCGTCTCCGGGAAGGCAACAATCTTGGCACATATCAGCAGCTCCTCCAGTTACACCGTAACCATTTCCATATCCAGTGTTGTAAGCAGAACGAGCAGTTCTGTTAGCGGATGGGACATCTTTCAATGTGTAAACTTCAGTCCAAAGTCCTTTGGCTTCAGCAACACACTTCTCCAACTCGTGCTCGACTTCGTGGCTAACAGAGTGAACGTAGCCGTGGAGAAGAGGGAGTGTGACACAGATAGAAAGCACAGCTACAGCTGAGAAAGAAATGGCTGCATATCCGACAAAGCGGTAGGCTGTAATCTTAGTGTCGATGTCCATGACGACAACTGTAGCTAACTTTGGTCAGTAAGCTTATATACTGTTCTAGAGAACAGGTTCCACTAAACATTACCAGACTCCCGATTCCGTTTTTTTTCGCACTTTTCGGTCACACTAGCAGACTATTTCCGAATTGTTTTATACATCGAAACACCCAAGAAATGTTCTCTCAATGTTCATGAAACAAAAGCGAATCTTATGCTGTATAAACAATTCATTGACTGCTAGAAAGCATGTCGCTTAGCTTGTGTGCCATAAACAAAGGTTTTAATGAGTGCCCCTGGTGAATTTTCAAACCCTCAGAAGAAAAATTTGCAGATCATGGTGGTATCAAGATGCGAATTAACTTGCAAAACAGGTTTTGAAAGTGTAAAAGGCGTACCTAAACTAAGCAAAGAAGAGCCAACGGAATGTGAGTCCGTCGTGTCCACAAGAGAAGCGACTGATGGCAACGACGGTCCTACCGACACACTATGTCTCCGGTTCGCTTAATGAATTCCATGAAACTGATATTCCCAATATTGATCTTACAGCTAGTGGTAGTCGTACTCATTTTTCTGCTAGACCTTCCACGTTCGAAGTCCAATGATACAAAAGCTTCATCAGTATCCCCGGTATTGTTACCAATAATTTCTTCGGATTCTCAAAAAATACAGCTCAAATGGCGAAGTGAATATCTTTATCCTACCTTTAATATCATCATCATCTAGATCATCCAAATTCCGCTCAACCAAAACCATAAGATCCCCCGTTGTTTGTTGCAGAAACCTTGTTGCCTGTCTCTCCCCTCTTATGGGGACGTTGTTAATAGCAACAAGTATATCCCCTAAATTCTTAAGTTTTTATTAAGATCAATACTATATACCCGGTTTGAATAGGGCTTTATCTGCTAAACTGCCTTCGTCTACGTTAGCCACTCTCACAGGCTTGGCTCCTTGACTCGAGGAAGAATACTGCAAAATTCAAACTTGAATAGAAGAACTAAATATGTCTTCAATTGTATAAGTTGGGATAGGTGGAGCAAGCTATAGTGTGTCGTCTTCTTCGAACGCATTGATTCAAATGGCAATGTTGAATTTTAAAAAGTTTCCAACTCACTTTCTCAAAAGTTATTCCTATCGGCTCAGCTAGATCATACCGTGAGAAAACAAGCATAACGCTGAGTGCATGAGCAACATTGTGCGATGTATTTTGAATGAACGGGCGTTGGTCTTTAAAAAAACAACAAATAAGAAAATGAAAACACAGTTTTACCCATTGTTAGAGTGCAGTATACTTCCCAGTTTTCGTTTTTGTTAACCAAATCGGTCTTAAGGCGTGAGCATTGTAAAACAGTTACTTCTAAGCCTCCCTCCAATTTTATATGAGCGAACGCGCCTGAGATAATACCCATTAAAGTGAATGAAAAACTTGCACTTACTCAGAGGAGGAGAAGCTTGAAGTAAAGGATTAGGAAACACGGGCCTATATCTGATTTTAAAATTAGGCCAAACATGTTTTCGTTGAAGAGCTCTTCGTATAGCATCTTTGATGAGTGGAATCAGGCGTTTCAACTGATGCCCTTGAATCTGTGAGCTAATCTGAATTTTTCAAAAATAATCTAATTTGCCTAAAGAATCTCACGTCGGTTTCTAACTGAGGAGCCGTCACAAAAGACATGGTCCAATGATTGTATGGCTTCCTAGACAATATAAAACGAACGGTTCCAGCAAGCTTAGTAATCTCAAATAAGCACAAAAGTTAAATAAGTTTGAGAAACAGCAGTTACTTTAACAGATAAATTAGCTTTTTTACCGAACATGGTAGCAACATCTATAGATGTCTCAAAACCTCCCGTGTAATCAATATCGACAAGGAAAGTAACATTCTTAAATACAAAAAGTAGGAAAGATATCAGAAAGAAACCAGACCTGGAAGGTGTTCTTGTCATCGGACATCTCAACCTTCTCAACCCGTATAGCTTTAACGACAGGGAACTTAGTACCCAGCGAGAGATCTCGAATTCTAATGTCCTTAGACAAACAATTATTACTCATTTTCAACCATTAATGAAACCTGCAACAAACGCCCAGCAGCCGATCTTGTGGCTATATCGTTAAGCTCCATTTGTAAGCGTTTATGCATCCATCTAAGTAGAATGATAATAAATTCACGAATCATTAAGCACTCTGACCTTCTGAGCGTTCTCGTGTCTTTGTGTTCCTGATAAAACATATGTAAGAAAAGACTCAGAGAGAAGCAAGATTCCCATGAGGAAATGCCCTGGCCATCTTTTCCTGATTTCAAAAACTGCTTAAGCTCCTTAAGGGAAAAATTAGACTCTACTAAGCAAATTAAATCCCACATCTGGGACCTGAATAGGTTTAAACTGCTCGATGAACGTAGGTGGCTGAGAAATAGGTCCCCAAGGGTCGACAACAAGAACATAAATAATAAACAAGACAATCCCGGCTCCAACAAGAACACCAAGGAAAAAAGCGATCATTTCTAGAAAAAAGTGAGAAGTAATTGGAAGACTCAGCATGGTAATTACTTACTGTTTAAGAACTGTTGAAAAGCAAGCAACTAGTAGTGCAAAAACCGTATTTATTTACAAGATATGACGTTTTCCAATTAATACATTTTGTTTCACTGAAAGCATTACGAATAGATTATCATCTAAGAGAGAATATACAAATCATTAACAACGCGAAAAATCTAACAATGAATAAGCACGAAACTCAAAGCATTAATAAAGTTTATCACAAATATATTCCACACATTATATACAAAGTTATTACTAAGCACCAAACATGCTCTTTATAAATATAGAGAAGCTTAAATGAATTTAAACCAAGAGGTCTTCAAGCGTGCGAAGGAAAATGGTGGTACGCAATCGCGTATCGTCAGACAAAGAATGGAGGGCTGATTACAAGAAAAATATAGAGAAAAACAGCCTCTGTTTGTGAAGGTTTGAAAATCCATGCGAAGTGTTTTGTTAATAAGTGAATTGGGTTAGGCTGAGATCAAATATAGTAAAATACGTAGTCGAGATATCAGTTTACAAGATCAACAGAGCTGCTGAATATATGAAGATGGCTAACCCTGCTGTCAAAATACCTGAAATATTTAAATGACAGTGCCTGGCATTGCCTTAGTGTTTTCAATCTATATTTTCTTTACAAAAGAGGCAGGTTTGTAAGAATGTTTCAAAATTTGTTTTTCAACTTTCTTCCTATTAAGCAGAGATGGTATAAGAACATGAGAAGTAATGATGTTGTTCATATTGAGAAAAAAATGTTCAACTGTAGTTAACGTTTGACGTAGATGATTTCGTCAACTATAAGCGTCCTTGTGTAAATTAGAACATTTTGTTTGAAAAGTATGTGACAACTAGAATATTGGCTAAATACAAAAAGATGCGAAGATTGCTTTATCAATCGAATGACAAGCAAAATAGCTATATCTACTGCTATCGAAATATATTTTGATTCACAAATAGAGTGACTCCTCTCTGACATGTAAAGTGCACATCCAGCAAGAAGTAACTGATTGTGCTTTATAGTCAATAGTGAACAAACGAAGATGACTAGAGACAACTTAAAATTTCCTTCCGACCTACTTAGCCCAAAAAAGCTTATACATAGTCTTTTTGCGTTTGGTATTTCACATGCTGAATTCCAAAAAGCAACAAAGACAAAGAGATGTAGTTGCTATGAAAAGAGTGGGAAAACGCTTGCTCTTCTTTGAAATTATAATGATCAACGTTAAAGATTATTTCAGGTTTGCATGCATGAAAAAAGAGATAAATATAGCAAACAGGAGAGCATTTTTTAGATTACATCATAGAATAATGGCTGACTACTAGAGCTGCCTTTCACACTTGAGAATATAGAATGATTCTTCATCTCTTGCTGCTATCCCCTCTTTTTTCTTTCCTCCTCTCTTTTCGTCATTTTCACTCTCTCTGTCTTCTTTTTATCTATTTCTCTCGTTTTTTCCATCATTATATAACTGAATTTGACTTCGCTCTCTCTGAGGAAAATTTTAATAAAAGAGAATGCTATCATCATTATTCCTCGCACTTGCAACACTTCGAGCTCAAAAACCCTCGTTATGCATTCTTATATAGAATAAATAGAAGAGCCCCGAGGACGAACTGATGAAAATGCAACTATTTTCCATCGAATCAAAAATCTGAATAGCAGACAGATTCGTTTCTACTTCTCAAATATATTTAAATGATTCTAATGATGTGATTCTCAAGCATCATTATCAACATGAATTCGATTTGATTAAAATCACACCAGCCTCACAAGTCAGTCACAAAAAAACTAGTTGAATCTTCTACTTTAATTTAGTATATCAGATTAAATGAAATGAATGACAAACCAGCTCCGTTCGGATCTTCCATTTCTTCCTGAGACTTTCGTATTCCAGAAGGGCGTGCAATGTTTAACTCATGTCGTCGCTGAAAATGGAAAATATTCGAAACTAATTAAGTTCGAGACTCTAACTATTGAGAGCGAAACTAAATACACCATTCATACTATCTTCTATATTCAATATTATTATTAAAAAACAAACCCTATATTCCTCAAGTTTGTTTACGAAATCATCAGTGAAAGGTATAGGTTCAATCAACCCACTACTTTCGAACGTTCTCTGTTTTTCGATCATTTCCAAATCTAATTCTCTCTCTAAAGTGATAAACGTAAAAATTTGATATTGAATTTATGACAAACCAATAGCAGGATGAACATTCTTCTTCCAACTCAGAGACCCATTCTCTTCAACCAGATACAAATTTTGATTTCTCATTCGTTTTTCATCCAATTCAATTCCATATAATCCTTCTTCGAAAGGTTTCTAAACCATTTGAAATGAGAAAAGCGAGGAATAAAAGTTGAGAGTTAAGCACAACCGCGTGCTGGGTCTTTTAAATTAAAAATAAACATTTTCCGTTTCCTCCGTGTAACCTTGCAAACGCTCTCGCCTTATGCTAATTTGTTTTTTTACGCATAACATGTAAATGACTATACCATTTGTAGGCGACCAAAAGAGACCGCCAATCGCATATTTTTTTCGAGACATAAGCCAAGTCTTCGATTGTTCATGCCATTCAATTGACCAGAGGAAGTAGCTGCAACTTAACCATATTAACGAACAATAAGTTAGAGACTCACTAATATAAAAATTAGATGAATCATAGAATGTTCTTCGTAATGTATGATGCGTTACGCGATGCCCCGATTTCTTACAATGAGCTACTGGTTTAGCTGAACTGCTCAATACACAATGTAAGAAGTCATCGTAGGGAACCTAAAAATAGATAAAAATGATTAAAAATATGCTGTTACCTGATATATGATGGTATATTCCATGTTATCGCCAGGTGGTGGGCAATGAAATCTAATTTGGTCACCGGGATGAGCCGATATTTCGTAATATCCAGGTGAATCGATAACATTGTCGAACGGTTCAAATCTGAAACATTATCTCAAACTCAAATCTCACTATTTTCATTACAATTCTCAAAAGCACATGATACGCTGAGTAAACAAATAACTTACAAAGGATTTGAAGAGTTCCAATAAACATCGTGATTATGAATTTTGGCTTCCGATCGTAACAAGAATAAATAGAAAATTAAGGGGAAAAGCATCTAAAATAAGAGAATTTTAATAGAAGAAGCAAAGAAGAAGGCAAGCAAATGGCAAATGACATTTTTAATAAGATTAATATGTGAAGACAGTGTCAAAGATAAAAAAGTAAAAAAAGTCTAAAACTGATAAAAATTGTTCGATTGCGCATCTAACACAGTAAAATTGTGAAAATTGTTAAAGTAGCCTCGGCTGCTACTTCACTCCACCGAGAACGTTCTGAGAAGTTTTGTTGATGGCTCATGAGATGATGACATTTTCATACAATCAATTGAACATTCACATAAAAAAAAATTCATCGAGACTGTTCTCACAAGACTGTCACGGGAGGAGAAGGCTAAGTTATGACCGGAAGAAATGAACTTGATGACTTTGCACAGAATTTTTGAATCTTATCAAGAAAATAGCAATTTATCTCACATTCCACAAATGTTTTCATTAATCTCACAAACTATACTCTCTAATAATTAATAAGAAACATGTAAGTACAATTTAAAAACACATACAACCATATGAAACTCATTAGAAAAAAATGACCAAATGCAATATAGGCATCTGATGCCACTCCCGTACGATTTGTCATGAATTTCTTCCTTGTCATCAAAACATTTCCAGAAGTATGAAAAACCTCAATGATATTTTGAGAATCGAATGAAGAACGAAGAGAATGAGTCAGCTAGGACACCCCTATTCTCTTTTTGAAGCAATGAAAATTTTTCATTCTTCAACATTTAAAACGATTTTTCTTCATTAAAGCGAAAACGATACTTTCATCAATCTGAACTAAGCAGCAGAGGAGATGCCAATATAGACAAATGTAAACATAATTGTTGTTCAAACTTATCGAATCCCATGCATATAATGAGAAATTCGAGAAGTTCACTTGCGTCATTATGTCTTAAAATAGTGAAATTCTTAAAGACAATTCGATTTAAGCTGATTATAATATTACTCGATCAAAAAACACCTTTTTTTGAAGTGAAATAATCAATTATCATTATGGATTTATCTAATCAGTTTCATTAAAGTATGATTTCATATGAATATCATTTAGAGCTTTGATTGATAACAGGCTAATTAACATAAGTAGAAGTGAAACGTGAAGTGTCACGTCAAAGTATGTTTTTATTTGTGAAATGACGTGAAGAGCGGTTGCGCACGAAATCTAAGGAAAGACAAGATATGAAGCTATTACTTTGACCCGCTCTGATAACATTAAGGGGATTAAGCTCATCTCTATTGATACTGTTTTTCTGAATTTTTCTCCCAAAATATGAAGAATACACTGTCGGTAAGAACAAGAGTGTTACATCACATGATCATTCAGTGAGATTTGCCAATGATAACTCTTGAAGAAATAATAAGAAACAACACGAGTGAGAAAAATAGTTTTTCCTTATGGTTTGTGGGGGTGAGAGGAGAAAATGAACGCACTAAGGATAAAAAACACGCAGACCAACACTCGCAATCTTCACAAAAGAGAATTAGTGAAAGAAAAGGAAGAGGGAGAAGGTACAACGGGCTCTTATCAAAATGACAGTGACGTGAATAATGGAAAAGTCTCATTAAAGTCATTTATTCCCCTTTACACAACAAAAAATATTGAGCAGAGGACAGAATCATCGTTTTTTTCGGAGAACTTTTAGGAAGCCGAACAAGCGGTTAGAAAAAAGTTGGGAAAAAACAGCCGAAACCCTGTAGAACATAAGAAGACGGACATGAGATGGAACGACTCTTTTGGAATTCAAAAAAGAAAAACATGGAAATGGAAATTCGGAAGAGTCAAATATGTTCTCATTTAACGATAAGATTCCTTGAAGCTGTCGGCAAATGTCTTTTGTCTTTCTCCAACAGTCCTTATAAGTGATAGTTTTCTTTCAATATTAAAGCCCATAAAAGATATTTCTTACACGTTTATATACATAAAAGATATTGGTCAAATAACACATGAAATGGTTTAAAACAAATATCAAACGGCAACCAAGGAATTAGTTAGCAAATTTGAAATACTTTACTGATATTTATTGATTGAAAATTGATCTACAGACTGGCCACAGTGCTTACCCAAATAACTTAACTCTACTCTTATCAATATGAAGTATGTTGAAAAGATAATCAACGCCGACAATGACCTTTTTTGTACGTAAAATACTTGGAAGAGAGTAGTTATTTGACAGGAAATTACCATATGCATAACCTCTCATTTGCATATCAGAAAACGTTTCATTCGAAGACTGAAAGCACTTCACAGACACATTTCATGAAATTGTAATGAAGATCTTTTTGTTTTCGAATCGTGAGACAAAAAACTTTTTGTTCTCAATGATATCTTCAGCTAAAAAACAAAAGTGCTAAATTTACTTTCGTTAATGCTATATCAATTAAGGGCAATTAATGTGATTCTCCCAATTTTGTTAGGTTTTTTAATTTGATGAAGATAATTCAATAGAACAACTCCCATTTATGTAAATTACACTCTGTAAGTCTTAACAGTATAGTTTAGAACACAAAGATTCATTCAAAATGACTTCCTCCCTTTCGTATTTGTTTATTCCATTCTCCTCTTCATTCAAAAAGTGTTTTTTCTATAAAACTCGCACACCTTGCTTCCATACGCTTTTGATCAATCAAAATTCTTGTCCAGATAGCTTTCGCTTCTTCGGCTTACTTTCCCTCCTGCTAGGCTTCAAGCTTTTTCTCCAAATGTTTTAGTTTTGTTTTTTATTTTTGTCTGTGTCACACTTTCCGTTCAAGCTTTCTCGTTCATCAATCAATCAATGCATCTATGCCATCCGAAACTTCTTGGCGATTCAACTTATAAACACGTTTATGCTTCATCTATCTCACTCTTTGATTTTAATATGTTACTTCCTTCCATTCTCTCCGTATTCGTCATCTACTTTTCCATGACAACGCTGGAAAGTTATCAATAAAAACATTTTATTTCCCTATTCTTTAGCCTTTATATCAGTTGCCGTTAATGTTTTCCTATATTTAACTAATTTAAGACTCTTTTCTGTATTCTTTGATAACATTCGTTTTTATTCTTATTGATTTAATTCTTTTTTTTTCGGAAAATATTTCCCGAAGCAACCGCTCTGATGAAGTTGAAAACTTTGAAATGTTTACGTACGTGAAGAGGGCGCTTTTCACGTTACTCACGTTACTCACGTAGCACACGTAACTTGCATAACTTACGTGCATTACTTTTGCAAATTGATGACAACAATCTCTCGTTGAACCACGCTGTTGACAATCTCTTTCAGATGTCAAATCAAACTACTACTATAAATCCCGATGGAGAGTCATCTGAACAATACCTTATTGGGTACATTGCTTTAGCTCTCTCATGCACAGGATTCGGCACCATGTTCGTTCCCTTGAAATCTATTCAACCCAAAGATGGTTATCATCAACCTACTAATCATACACTCTACGACAATTGTAGGGTTTTTTGTGCAATGGGTTGAATGCAGTGTAGTCTTAGTGACAGGCTTCATTATTAATGCCATTCGAGGATTTCCAGATTTCCAGTGGATCGCTGCAATTGGGGGAGCTCTATATGCTACAGGTTTTCGTTATTAATAGAACTCATCCATATATTCCGTTTGAAGGCAATGTTTTCTCTGTTCCAATTGTCAACGGGATAGGGATGAGCTTGGGTTTGCTCATTTGGGGTTCTATGCAGGTATTTTCTGAAATTAAAAACGTTTCAAGATTGTTCCGCAGATCATGGTAGGTTGGAGTGTAGCACGGTTTGGACTTTTCAATTGGTTATCGGCAACTCACGTCGAACATGATCTACTAAACTATTTAGGATTAGCTTTGACCATTATTAGGTACAAGATAAGATTTGATTCACCTGAAGATTCGGTTTTTAGTGGCATCTTGTTCGTCTTCATCCGTCATACTAAAGAAGAGCAACACGACAATTCGTATGAGTTGAAACCTGAAACAGTTCAAGAAGTTTCAAATACAAAAGCTTTTTCCAGAAAAGTCCCGTAAGGCTTCGCTCAAAGCTTTTCTCTTAATCTTCTTATGTTTACTCAGATTCATACTTATGGCTATGATACTGGCTGTATTCCACGGGTTGATGATGACTCCTATTGATATTCTGAAACAAAAATATCCTTCTAACGATACTTACAAAGGTAGAAAAGACTCCTTTACATAGTTGCTGGAAGAAGATTCCTTTCAGTTTTCGATTACTGTTGGTCATTTTACTCCAGTGTGTTCGTATTCTCAACCATCTATTTTTTCTTGTATTGCGTCGTACTTCAAAGAAAAGCTTATGTGGAACGTGAATTGATCATTCCATCTATTTTCTATGGAATTCTCTGGACAACGGGGATGACGTTCTGGTTTTTATCAAGTGATAAATTATCACAAGTGGTAGCTTATCCTATAACTACTCGGGTATTCCCAATTAGAATGCGATTAATGAACCATTTTATATTTCAGTTACCTGCCATAATCAGCGCCTTGATTGATATTATACTGTTCAGATCAATAAGGGTTTGTTGTTGACTTCCTAATTCATACGATTTATCCTTCCAGGGTAAACACAACATCATCTTCCTAGCTTTCGCTATCGTTGTTGGTCTCTCTGGTGTTGTTTTAATAGCTTTATCCAACCAAAAATTATAAAAATGATCTCTAATGCTTATTCTGTTCTCAAGAGGAAGGTTCAGAATTATAATTTATAGATAAATATGTTAATTTGTGATTATTAATTTAAAAGCTCAGTCCTTGGTTAGTATAGGTTCGATGCTCCGAAATCTTTAAGTATTCCTCTTTCAATTTTTTCGGAAGTAGATATTGAGCTGAAAGCAAGCCTGTGTCGAAACATCTTCGTGACAACTACTTACCAAAGCCTCCAAATAGCATTGTTGTGACGGAAAAGAAGATAATCATAGCATTCGTACCTATGATAATCGATTCGTATGTCAATTTGTCTTGGTATGTTAAGCAGTTCTTGAACTGATTGTAATGAACACAATGGATTGGTCTATCTCCTGGAGGTATGTGACTATAATATATAGCTTTACATATTTGTAGCTCCGACCACAGACCTTTTCAATTTCGAAATGCCTATTGACCCAAAAATCAAACCAATCGTTGATCCAGCAAATGCTCCAAGCGACACGATATGATACAAATAAATCTGAATTTAGACGCATTGACAGTTGCAAAATACTAATCTGTTTACCATGGCTTTTGCTTTTGAATAACAATTATGATGATTTTGAATGAGGAGCACATAAGCTGATAAGATGAAACCTCCTGTACATAGTGAAGTTATGGCAGCATTCTGAAAGAAACGCATCACGAATTTACATTCAACAACACTAAAGGGATGTTTCATGCTGTGACTAATACTACCCACTGAGACGCCTACATTTTTTATGTACATGTACAATTACCTGCTCATCACTGATTTTTTCCGTTTTGTCACTATATTGCCCTCTGCTCCACAATGTCCACAATGACACGAATACGAGAACGAGGGCAGGGAATTTGAGAAGAGAAAATACAAATCTTTGATAGCTTATTGAGAAGTTATTGAATATCGCACGAGCTTTGATATCATCCGGTTTACTGAAGACTACTATCGTTTAAAAACGAATTAGATACACTTACTCATCAGATCCTGAGACTATTCCCTGCTTTAGAGGCCCTGGAGGCACCTCCATTGAGTCGACGTTGAGATTTCTGTAAAAAGAAAGGTAAACAAACAGTTTTCGAAATTCATCAACCCTGTTGTAATTATGGGATTATTTCGTATCCGAGGTAACGTAGCTGGCATAGCATCTGTAGAAATTTGAACATTCTCAAGTCCTGTTTGAGAACGTATTCTCACACTAGCTGCTCTGAAAAAACGAAAGTTCACTCCAACAATAGATTTTATCGAACGATCTCTCTTCTGTGTATGCAGGAAAAGAAAAGGCGGAAGAAGTTTCCATAAGTCGAGCGCTTGGAATGGTTTCAACGTTTGGTTTTCGGAAAATGTCCAAGCTAGGAATGTCAGAAAGTTCTGCTGACCGCTGAACGTATCGACCTGTATGTAAAAAACGAACATAGAAGAGAAAAAAGCGTTCACACCTGCGGGATAGTCTTCTATAATGGGTGGGAAAGCTTCGGCTCGAGGACGAGGAATCCTGATTGGAGCTAACTCCATAGTCCCAGGTAGAGCAAGGCTGAATATATAGTTAACAAACAAAGTACTGAAAAAAACATACTCGGAACGTATAGATCCTGAGATAGACGGGACTTTACTGCCATTGGTGATCTTCTCACGCTGGAAAAATAATGTTTAGAAGAACTTGGAGCTCCTTCCAACCTTCATCCTTTAAGAGTTGCCGACTGATCAAACGTGTTAGAAGGTCTGCGGCAAGCTCTGTTTGTCTGATGTGTAGCTTGAATTGACAAACGAAACTGATAACAAGACGTCCAATTTCAACCGCCTTATCAAAGCAATAGTTCTCCTGCATCCTCCCGCTCCCTCCTCACTTTACGATATTTTCTCATCGATTTCTTTATTATCAACAAATCATTCTATAACTTCACATGCTTCTAACTCTCATCTTTCTATAAAGTAAAACTCCTAAGCTGCAAATGAATGTTTTGATGACTCACCTGCAATCTCCACCCTTCGCCTTGAACGGATCATTTGAACCAGACTTCCCCGTGTATTCTACAAATGCACTTCATTATCGAAGCTGATGAAATAGAAGTATGACATATTCCCAAATAATTTAAAACTTGAAGCCAAACAAACATATAGAATAAAACAATTTATTCACGCCAAACATCTTGGAATCCTCTTTTATAAAGAGAATTATTATAAGTTAATGCATTGATACACAATTTTCCCCTGATACCACACACGAGATATGCGCAAACTACAAATAAGATACAAAATTGCACTGATCAATGGCTTTTTAAGCCTCTAATTCTTGCTGGAGATCAACAAAGTTGGTCACAAACCAATCGGCTCTATTTTTAACGGCTTCCCGGATCTAAAATTTGATCGAATTCAATAGAAAAAAAAACATGACAAATGTACCTGATTTCCGCCAAACCCTATAAAAGTATCTGCTGGTGGGCATGCTTCCAAATCGGTCGCACCATCTCCAACCATCACAACATTTTTGTAATTGAACTTCTTTTTCAGTAAAGCAATTACAGCCGGCTTCCCAACCTTCAAAAACAGGATATTTTGAAAATGAAAAGAAAAACTTACATCTTTGGATCCGGAATCACTTGTTGGTTCATTAGTATCGAAACCGCAATATTTCTTATTAATATCAAATAGTATTTCATTAGCGTAAATATGCTTTCTATCAACTCCTTAAACGTTTGATTTGAACCAATGGATAGATAGTAAACTCTCACCTAAAATATCAGCCACTGGTATAATTAACCGTCTGAAACCTCCAGAGACAAGATAAACTTGAGTTCCACGATCAAGAAGAAGACGCACTAGACTCTGTATTCCTGGAGTCAGCTGCAACTCATTCATTCAGTTCAACTCTCTTGATAATGAAACCTTAGGCTTTGTCTTCGTAGCATACTCTTCAACTTGTTCGTAGGATGGTTTCATAACTTGTAACCGGGCAGCCAAAGCATCTCTGCAAAGCTAGAAATAGAGAAGTTTCCAGTTAGCATTAACCTAAAACGAGCATTTCCATTCATAGCGGCTCTAGTTACATTGGCAACTTCTTCGCCAACGCCCAAATAATTAGCTAACTCATCGATAGCTTCATCCTGTATTGGAGAAATGAGAAAAAAAGATCTACTTCGGACACTACCTGGCATACTGTTGAGTCAACATCGAAGCAAACGGCATCAGCGTTTCTCCAAATACGTTTAGCTCTTTCCAATGATGATTCTTTAGCGTGTTGATCATCTTTCAAGAGGGTTCCTAACTCTTGAGTTGGTGTCGTGGATATCGTCGAGTTAGGATGCTGAGTTGCAACACGAATCATTTTTGTGAGTAGCCGGAGCGAAATGACGAAGACGTCTGAAAGAACTCGAATAGTGTATAATAACAGAAGCAACAGAAAAAACATCAAAATAGAAAAGTTCAACAAAAAGGTGATAAACTTTTAAAGGGTGCAGTTTTATATAGTAAGTTTCCGCGGTAGGTGGAGTTGGTCCTTTCGCGTAAGCTATCACACCACATAAGGAACTTCCCACCTTGATCACTTAGGAAGTTGTACCTTGGACAGAGCAAAATGATCGAATACTTGATTTCACGTCACTTTAGAAGAAACGGTGAAATAATAAAGTAGAAGAATAAAGCTAAGTTAATGAGAAAATGACACAACCGTTCTGCACACTCGCACAACAAACAATAGCAAAAACAGGCTGCGTGAAAATCACGTGAAGCACGTGAATTCCCTTAAGCTTATCATGCTAATTGCGCTGTTGCTAAGGATATTATTGCAACGAACATTAAAATGCAAACAGCCGAACTCTTATTTTGAAAATTCGTGGGTTGTGGGCAAATGTCCTGATTAAGGCAGTGCGATAACACATGTTAATCGTAAGAGATAGGATTGGGAAATACAATCGTATTCACAAATTATTTACGCATTTTACGACATAAACTTAAACAAAACTATTACAATAGTTTAGAACAAACTGAATGAATAACAACAATAATGTTTTTGACCAAATTTCAAAACGCAAATATGACTCTTGAGATGCCTCGAAATTACATTTGATCTCATTAACAGGGCAAAATGATAGAACAGTTGAAAAACGAAGAAACGAAATTTGGAAGTGATAATGCAAAGAAAACTGGATTAGCACTGCTTTATCATCGGAAGATATGTTAAAGCTGAACAGATCCAATTAAGAGATGCTACATCTTAGTGTATTGAACAAAAGATCGTGAGGAATAATTCCTGGACCTGTTAAGATGAAAGGATTTCTTGAATATTAGAAGAGGTTGATATGACGGAAATTTTGACGTCATACGAAGATAATGATAAGAGAAAAAAGGAATTCACATGAATTTCAGCAGATGTAGTGAAAGTGAAGTTCTATTAAAAAAATAAATATATATAACGGATTCTTATGAATCGATTGATAAACAGATAAATCAGTTACAGTAATGTTTAATCCATTGTTCTTCAACTGACATCATTTCAACAGGTCGACTTCACAGATCGCACGTACGTCTCCCCTGTTTTCTCAATTCACACGTACATAAAACTTTCTTTTTTTCAATATTCCAATTAGATTTCAACTTATTTTTTTGTTGATGCAGAGCCAAAACTATCATCGCAAAACAAAATTAAAGCAAGAGAGAAACTTTCTCATATACTTCAAGCTCTAAGCACTTCGGACTAGAGTAAAAGACTATCAAAACAGGAACAGTGAATTCGCACAAAAATTGAACAAATATGAAGAGAAATAAAGCCCAGAGAGCTTTGTGTGATGATGGGTGATCTTTAAAGAAGAGCGAAATGGGGCAATACTCTCAATGAAATTGAATGATACGAAAAGGACAACGATCAAAGTGTCATTGAAACAGAAATAGTAGCAATCTGATCAATGACATAACAAATCATCTTTAAAAGTTTTTTTTTCCCATGGAGAAGATCAAACGTTTAAAATGTAGCGAGCGAACAAAAAACCATCTTAAACAGACTTTGTAAATCATAGAAGAGCATAGGGTTAGCTTCTAACCTAAGGACATCTCCCAAACTATTATTTGTGATTGGAGGAAATCGATGAATAAGCGTAAGAGTAGACGCAAGGGATAGAGAGCAAATGCGATGAGAGAAAAAGAGAAAGCCATAGTATAGAGAAATAGTTTTGTTCTATTGAGACATCACGGTCCCGGGGAAACCCCCTCTCCTTTGGCCTGCACTCTCTTTGTTCTCCACGCTATCTCTTTGTTTTGGAGCACGAGATTGTCATGTGCACATCTCGTGGACACCCTATATACTCGCAGTTTATTCCCATTTACGTCTTTCTTCATTATAAACTCGTTCCGGCAGATTTCCCTTTTTCGCTCCATTTCAGCAACAAGCCAACTCATGTTGACTTGTTTTTTCTGAACCACATTCGGTGTGCAATTTCTGTATTTGAGATAATTTGATTCTCTCACAAGCATTTGAAACAAATTTTCAGTAGAAAACTCTCGTCTACACAAAATAACGTTCCATTATTCAGCATGCAAACGAAATGAAATTCTATAAATGAGCAAATTTGCTTATATTTTCCATCCTTGCCCTTAAGTTTTCAAAGAAGGTATGACAGCTTGAGCAAAACATTCTTCAGTTTAGGTTCGGTAAGCCCTAATTGAATGAGTTTGCCAGTAGAATTTGAGCAATAAGCAGAAAAGTACATGTCTCTGAGTAATAAATAAGATTTCTCGGAGGTTGTTTGCGCTAAGATTCGTCGATTATCCATTTGTTTCTCAGCTCAATACGTAAGCTATGTGTTTTAGAATTCGTTTCAAAGATCATGTTCATCGCGCCTCTAACACATCTAAAATCAACACAGTCATATTTCACATTACTTAGCTGCATTCCTCATGAATGAATTAGCATATAACAAGTGATCTAAGTCTTAGCAGTAGGCTGTTTATATTTGGAAAATGAGCGCTGTCAGCGTTTATTTATGAAATGCTTCATGAACACTGAGTAATCTTACGTTAATTCCCTCAACACCAATTCTGAGCAGAAAACCAGTGAGACGATTCAAAGACTTACTGCAAATGGTCTTAGGAACGGAAAACATGAAAATGTTCTATGTTCGGTGGTGAGTCTAAAAAAAGAGATGAGATGACGATGCTCCTCTGATCGGCATTTACGAAAAGAAAAGGATTAGAAGATCTTTCATATAGATCTTGGAATTAGATCAAGAGAAGCTGTAACTGACGATGTTGAGTTTAATTAAAGGTCGAAGAAACATCCATGTGCAAAGTAGAACAGAGCCTACAGAAAGCAAATACCAGTTGTAAGAGTCCAGACGCATAAATGTATTTGCTTGCAAATTATTAGTAACAGCATACTGAATATTTCATTTCCCACTCCCTTGTGAAAACCGATGGAAAATGGCTCAACCAACAAGTATGAGTAACTGGTAAAGCGGAAAATAGAAGAAAATCCATGTCTTCGAAAATAAAAAAAAACAAGTTTACCTCGAGAATTCCTCGTATTCTTTGACCGAAAAGAGTTTTTTGAGAAATCCTGATGCAACCGTTCCTCACGTTCCGTGTTATCATAAATGAATTAGAGTGCGTGGAATTGCGCGCGTTTAATCAAATTTAAAAATTAATTTAATGCGTTAAGTCAAATTTAATGGGTTCCAGATTTTCACGAATGTCTATTGCCAGCTGTTCTAAAATGAAGCTGATTTCTAAAAAACGTCAGCAGAGAATCAAACCTTGTTTGATAATCTAGTGAATCCAAGTAAATCCGTCTCATATGTTTTAACGCTTACGAGATTATTCTTCACCAACGGAAGCCATTCTGCATATTGATATTACATCAGAATGATGCTTGAATGATATCTTTCAGAAAGTCTTTTCCCAGTTTTTTTTCATCTCTGAATAACTTCATTGTTTCATCTGTAACGATAATAAACGGATTAAATATCACGCACAACACCTAATACCAAACAATGCAACACTGGCAGAATACAGTGCTTGCTGAGCTCAAGAAATCTCAAGTAATATCTAGAAAGTAGAAACCCACATCATTTGATAATACAAATGTAATGTATATAAAAGCTTTTTCAAATCCTTATTGAATTTCATTCTACTCCCTCTGGCTAATGCACCTTCTCTTCCTTAACTTCTAGCTGCCTTTTACTCTTCATATCCTTTCTGCATCCTCCCAAACATCCCTTTTTCATTCCAACTTCCTATTATAAAATCGTTTTCTTCTAGGCTTATGTTCAAAGCCTCAATAATGTTTCAGATGTTTTTAGTTGAGGTTTGCTCTTTATTCATTTTCTCATATCATTTATGCATTAACATGATCTGCTCGTTTTGAAATTGTGAGTGCTTCCGCCTCCATTTGTGAAGCTATGTTGTTGTCTAAAGACAGTTGTTTTTCGCAGTCTTAGTATGGCTATGACATTAATATTCTAGTCTCCTCACACTATCCGTTTGAAGTTGCCCATTTAGTGAAATTCATACATTCTTCCTAGACATGACTTCCTGTAAAGGCAAACTTCGCTTTCAGATGGCTTTATTTGAAAATACCAAATTAATCTTTGTAGCCAGTTAAACGCCCATTTCAATCTGATTGGCTCATCTACATAGCAGCAACTCTCTTTTTTGTTCTAGAGATCATGCATCTATTCTATAGCTGAGTACAGACTTTTCGTGCAGGTGGTTAAGCTGCAATTTATTATTCTACTTCAAAAGAAAATCTTACCAGATTTTAATTCCCATCATTGTATTTTTTTCTCATGAATCTCCTGCATAATTATTTTCTATCGTTCAAAGGCTTAAAGGAATGGTCATTTGATCAGTGTTATGTACTTCCCTCTTTGGCTTCTTCAATATCTTTTATAAATTTTAACAGATTGATTCTTCATCTCTTCCTTCTCCTAAGCTATCCAATGTTTGTTTTCTCCATTTTCTTCAACAATATTTAGTAAAACTTTATAACAAATACCTTCTCTAGCTTCGCATATATTTGAGAAAATTATGAATTATTTCTCCTCATTAGAATAAGTCGTTTGAGTCACGTGAAAAAAAATCTCTGGAGCGTCATTCTTTACCTATTAGACACTGACAACGAGTGCATTCCAGCATCTTCCTCTTGCTTCATCAAATTTTATTCATCAACTTTTTTTTAGAAGTTGCCCCATTCAATAAAGTTGAGCAACATCTATTTTAGTGGACAATATAAGTTCATCAAACTCTATCCTTTAGCCCTCGTACGCATGAAAGTGAAAAGGCTAGAACGATAGTTTTGTTTCATTGTATTCAAACCATGACAATGATGTGCTCCTATGATATATGTATATCCAATTAGATATCTGCGTTCCCAATAATCCGATTAGTTATGCTCATCTTATTTGATTTGTTCGTCTTATTTCGTAACCTTTGTCACACTCAACATATGCTTTTCTAAAAACTTCCATTGTCGACATAAAAAGAAAAAATCCGGATTATCTCTCGGTCTATATGAGGATATGCTTCCATTATCTTGACTTCGGTCTCTAGAATCACAATATTTTCATTATTTCCGACTTACTTACCACATTTCTCTTATACTATTTCTATTAATATACATAGTTTATCTTCTGGCTTGCTCCAGATATCAATTGTCTTGATGTGGCCAGATCAGGAACGTGAAAAAAGCGCACAGTATCAAGCTACTTACATGCCATTGTTCTCCACAGAAACGTTAATGTCTATTTTAATTCCCTTCATGGCTGTCATGGTAGTAGTCGTGATAGGTCAGTTTTGGGAAATTGAGTTTTGAACAATCTGGAATTCAATTAAGGACTGGTGATGATTTACCTGTTCCGCAAATGGCGTGACTCCAGGACAGAGATCTACATTGACGAAGAGGATGATATAATAATTCGTCCTTTAACGCCGCGGTAAAAAAAAGTTAATTATAGCAGGCTTACAATGATTGCATTCTAGTCCCGAGAGCTTCCGAAGAAACTCTGCTCAAGCTCAATACCGATTATTGATTCAAAGCAAATTTGAAAAGGAATTTGGTGTCGGAGCAGCCAGATTAGAAAATGGATTGTTAATGCCAGTTCGCATTATAGAGCCGAACTATGTTTAAGTTTTTTTTTTTTATCAAGTATCAACAAAACTTCACGAGTATATGAAATGCGATTAATGTCACTTAATAAACAGTTATTTTGATATCTTTCTATAAAACACAATAATTCGTGCATTTACAAATAAAGCGCAGGGGACAGAGATTAGTATGGAATGATTGACGATTTTTAAAACTCTCTTTATACTTGAGATCTTCTTTTGGTTAAAATAGCAGCTGCAATATCCTGGAAACGCTCCCGTTGTAGGAGTTCGTAGGCAGCCCTCAACGTGTTCCGTGTTATCTTGTCAAGAGGTGGATAATTTGCAAGGAATAGCCAATGCCCGAACTCCAAACCCATGCCGAAATCAGATTCATCATTAGCAAACTTCAAAACAAACAATTATTTTTGTAAGTGCATGTTTTCTTACTTGTGCATAAGTATAAAGCTCGTTTATCTTCGCCATACGTCGTTTGATAAGCTCTTGATCTGTAGCCGTTCCAATTATTTCCAAATTCTTTTTAAGGGAAGCTTAAACCAATAAAAACAATCTTTTCAGAACTTTAAGTAGCCTACAGGGACTTTCTGGAATGTCTCTATACCCAACATCGTTTATAACTCGAATTAAGATTCCCAATGGGTGTGGTGGCGATCCAAGCTTTAACAGGGACATGGTCTTTTAAGAGTTGAAAATAGCAATACCTTGGCTTTCTTTCTCTTTCGTATGGCCTCTCCACGGGATTTCTTTAAAAGATTAACTGTAACATCATGTGGAAGAATCTTTTGGAGTTGTTTACTGCTTTCCCCAGCCAAATGAAGTAGGATATGCTCGAAAGACGGGCCAACAATCTGAATATTCTACTCCGTATTTTCTAGGAAAGAATGGAAATAACTTCAATGGTCGGGAAATGTTCTTTGCCATCGGAATGAACAATCAGAAAATCATCATCGTTGGGGATATCGCGCCAAATAGCATAATGTCCATTCTTATGAATCAAACAAGTTTCCATCTCAGGTAAGTCGGTAGAATGCCGATGATATGTAAGAAACTGTTGTTCTGAAACCTGAGTACTGTATGCTATTTTCTATTTTGTAACTAACCAGTGATGAAAAGAGACCCTTCGAGTTGTTCAAAAACACCTACAAGTTCCGCTTCATCAAACTGAGAGAAAACTTCTAAATGATGGAGATTAGACGGAGCATTTATGCAAATGTAAACTTCTCGGAGAATCATTGCTTAAGGTAAGTACATGCTCCCAGAACTTCCTCGTTGATTTACTTACATGATAAAATGTTGAGGAAGGAGGGCTGAGAATAAATCTATAAGAAAGATCTTCAAAATACAGACCTTCGGTCGTCAAGGGCTTCTTGGTTTGATTTCTGGTCGGATATTGTTGCAGTTGAAGCTACAGATATATTGGACAAAGTCACGGGCTGTGCTTCAACTGGGTCGCTTTTGATATTAAAGAACTGCAATGAATGATATGGTGTGGAACTCATGGAAAGTTAGCAAATAAACCTTCTCCAAAACTAATCGCTTGTCGACTTTCTCATTTAATATCTTAGGACACTCTTGTTTTGGATGTTCCGAAATAGTTTCCACTGCATCCTGCGATTTCTCTCTTATCTTTTCGTCTTCAACATCACCATTCTCTCTTCTCTTCCGCTTCTTCTCAGGTTCTTTATGATCCTGAGGTAATTTTCTTTTAGAAAACTTATTCTTTCCGTGGCTTGATGGCTCATCATTTCTCACTTGATGAAACTTATTGATATGCTCTCTATTTTTGCGATAACATCTGATTCCATATTTGCAGGTTTCTTCCATTCTATAGAATAAAAAAAATGTTTTAAAGCATTATGCTTCAAGGAAGATAGAGCATGGAAACGGAACCAAATAAATGACGAGAGAACAGGGGAATTATACAATAGCTTTATGAATAACAAAAAACAATAGTCTATATTACATCTCTTTGTCAATCTATCTAAACCTAGCTCTGTCTTAAGATGTTTGTTTCTTCGGAGATTCTTCGGCTTTGGCCTGAACAACTTAAATAACCACAACTTCCTTGGAATCAATACTCACCATTGGTCTATTACTCGGATCAAAAGGACTAGGCAATTTCAATCCAGATTTAGCTTCAAAAAATGTATAGCTTAATAGAATACTGTCCAAGTACTCCAGATTAGGATCATTAGCATAATCAGGATCAATATAAAAGAAGACAGGCAAGTCGACCTAGAAACATTGGAAAGTTAATTGATGCTTTGAGCAAGTGTAACCTTCTCTCCAGGATTCAGAATCTGTTCTTCGAAACAGAAACACTGTATCTTGTTAAAGTAATAAGCAGCTTGAAAAGGGGTTAGATTATAACTAGATATACCAATAATAGGTTTATCAGTGGGATTTCTAGCAGTATAGAAAGCTAGAGCTGTCTCACCAGGATGTACATACATCTAGAAAAGTCTTTACAGAATTTCCAATTTCCGTCTGAATACCTCAAGTTGTTGTGGCTTGAACTCCCATTGCATACTTGAAGGGACATCTGAGTTGAACTGAACTCTAATCAACCTGTCCTCCACCTTTTTCATCAACGCAATTTTCTCGAAATCAGAAGCAATCTATTACAAAAACCTTGTAACTTGATATTATGCTACTCTAACCTGTGTTAAACCTCCGAAAGAGGTCTGCTCACAGAAAATTCGATAAGCTGGTATAGCGGCAAAAGTGACCCCAATCGCAATCACACCCAGACTAACAACATAATACATGGAATCTCTGGTCTTCTCATTGGTTTTCTTGAATATTCATCTATTTTGAGGGAACATAATTGGACAAAGTACTTTGTTGAAGCACCGAAATTGTTGGTTAACTGGACCCGGTTTAAAAAAACTTGCCACATCACCTCTCGAAAATAGACTCGGTCTAAGTAACCTGGAGAGAGACATCTAAAAGTTTGATTTATAATTTGAAGAAAGAGGATCAGATACTTTATAGGATGGTAACCGCTGGTTATTGGAAAAACTCGAGATTTATTTGACACATTCATTAGGTTTTCTCTTTTTCTCTTTCTTGTCTTCGGGAGCAAAAGGATTTTCATTGGCATAGAACTGTTTCAATAAATCAATCGATCTATCTGCTTGAACCAAATTTATGATCTGAATAAATTGAATATTTTGTGTTGTAACAGATTGCAACCTTTATATTGTCAGCATAACCATATCTTCCAGCGTTCCCGACACTTCTTATTCCGCCGAACCTATCGTTCTCTGCTCCATACACTATCTTACGGATACCTAACTCATACAAAGCAGAAGCGCACATTATACATGGCTCTAAGGTAACATATAATTCTAACTCAGGTAGGATCTGAAGGATATATCAATAGCTTGCGTTATCATAAAAAAAAAACATACATCCCGAAAATTTGGAATGAGCTCCTCCATTTGCCGGATGGCATTCATCTCAGCGTGAGCTGTTGGGTTGTGAGTTCGATTTGTTTCGTTTTGACCAAATCCTACCTGGAAAAAAAAGAAAAAAAAACGTGAGAATGGAAAAGAATATAAAGCAACCTCTTTTCCATCATGAACAAAAACACAACCAACAGGTACTTCATTATCTTTTAAAGCCTCTTCAGCTAAAGCAAAAGCTCGTTCCATGAACTTATCATCATAATTGTTATCCATAAAGACTATCAATGGCATAAAATGTAAACTCTTCATAGTTTGGCAAAATACAGAACGGATATTAACCAGTTATTAACATAAGAAAACCGAATTTTTTACAATAACCACCAGGATATTGACGAAAGAGATCGCGTAGGTTATGAGATTTCATTACATTAAATTAGAAGCGCTCGTTATTATTTGTTCCAAGCAACGACCGAATTCCCTCAAAACAAGACGTTCCATAGCTTCGATAGTTCTCTCACTTGCATCCCCTTTTGAAAGCTGAAACTTTGGAATCTCAATAGCCTGAACTTTAACAAAATTACAGATTCCTCTGACTGTGCCACCATGCATAAGGTAGCAGCTTCGATCACTTCATCTGTCATGTAAAACCAGGGATAACTTGAACAGAACAGTTAACAGCTATTCAGAAAAACTCAGACTTACGCTCTTGGATCGGGCTCGTTAGGCTCTGTTTCACTATCTTCGTCCGATATAGGAGAACTAGACCTACTCGTACTAGAAGGTAGTCCAGTAGTAGCAGCATTCGCCAAATTCATCAGGGCAGAGTTGGTGACTCTGAGCAAAATGAAAATACAAAAAAGTTTTTCTGTACAACATACTTCTCTTTTATCCTGGATTGCCGATCATGTTCTGTATTTTGACAGCCTTTACATTTACACCTCTCCGTGCAAGGTACTTTCGCCTTCAAATACAGGAGTTCTTGGAAATTGTAAGAAATAAACAACCTCGTAGCATTCACAGTAATTTTTCAGACAACCACTCTTTTTACAATGACATCCCTTTTGATGTAATCGTTCAAGATCAGCTTGTCCAGCTTTAGTTACTCCTTAACAATCTCTTATAAAAACGTATCTTAAAACCAAATACCTATTTTGGGTTTAAAGGCGTTGGGATTTCGTTCGAGAGATTGCTTTATCGCTCTAGTCCTGTCAGCTTCGTGCTCTAGGTTATTATGACAATCTTTACAATTGCAGTCACGACAGAACTCTCCATTAGCGAAGCAATCGCAATATAATTTAAGACACATCGACTTTGTACAATTACATGGCTTTTTCTGACCAATTGTAGGCTTCCTGACAAAACACAGTAAAAAATTCAAAAGAAGCAGGGATTACCTTTTGGACTTAACAGGTGGTCTATCGATAGCCAAACTCGAGGAATACGGTGAGCAATACTCTCGTTTCACTTGGTGAAAAGTAGATGAAGGTTGAACTGAGTAGGAATAAGGTTTCGTGACTGAAGGTTCCACTATGTGGTACGAGTGCTGAGGAGTCGATTTTTGTTCGGTTATATGGGAACCCTGTAATAAACAGAAATAGTACGATCTTACAAACTGTTTACCATAACAGGCTTGGCGGAATTATTTGGCATATATTTAAAGACGGCATTACGTGGTGAAGGATTATTTGTAGAAGAATTTTTTTGAACCCGTATCATCTGAAGAAATATTCAGAGATTCTATAACTCCAAAACTAACTCACCTCGCTTCCGCGTATCGCAAAAATTGTAGATCCCGATTGACTATGCTGCTGATTTTGATAATGCGTCGAGTTAGGTGTTGGATAGGAACGCTAGAAAAAGATAAAGGGAAAGAGCAGTCGGAAAATTTTTTACTGGAATAGAATTTGTGTTTGAATGAACTTGAATTTGTTGTTGATTATCAATAGGCATTTCATTGGAGACGTATCGACCATCATCGTAGGAAATATACTCTTCCTCATACTCGATGTATTCTCCCCCGTTCTCCAGATACATACCATCTACATCATCTATCTCCTGATAAACCTAGAAAAAATTTCCACATCTTTTATCTTCCAAAATATCAGAACGAACCTCTTCTCCCTCCATTTCATTTAGCCCGTGTCCTAGGTTAGGTTTTGCATCCATGAATATTTAAATGTTTATATGAAGAACATGGGTTCTTAAGTTTTAAAATTGAAACAAAATATCTAAAGTGGAAGCTGGCGCTTTTTTGGTGTAAGGTCGAATGTTTGAATTTGCCGCGTCAAGACCACTGCGCATCGACTGAGGGGAATGGCGATACGCAGTCTTTTCTTCGTGCAGCGAAATTCCTACTACATTTCACATTGCAAGTCATCCTCCTAAGTGGCTGGTAGACAAAACAAAAAATGCCTCCCAAGTTCGACCCCAATGAGATTAAGATTGGTAAGTTGTTAATTATAAAATTCGGTTTATTTATATGTCACTTATTTAGTCTACCTTCGTTGCGTAGGTGGAGAAGTCGGAGCTACCTCAGCTCTTGCTCCCAAGGTCGGACCTCTTGGTCTCTCTCCTAAGAAAATTGGAGAAGACATCGCCAAGGCTACACAAGACTGGAAGGGTCTTAAGGTCACATGCAAGCTGACCATCCAAAACCGTCAAGCTAAGATCGACGTCGTTCCTTCTGCTGCTTCCCTCATCATCAAGGAATTGAAGGAGCCTCCCAGAGACCGCAAGAAGGTCAAAAATGGTATGCGCCTTAGGCACAGGGTCGGGAGTTATTCTCTCATCCCCCAGTCTTTTGTTTCTTAATTGACACGGGCTGGTAACGCTTTGGTGTTTACTTAAGCTGTGAGTTTACCAGTTAGTGCTGTCGACCCTGAACATTTTTGCATCAGATTTCGATTTTTAAGTTACTGTTTTGTTTTAGTGAAGCACAATGGTGACTTGACCATCGATACCATCATCAAGATTGCCCGTATCATGCGCCCAAGATCCATGGCCAAGAAATTGGAAGGAACAGTCAAGGAAATTCTCGGTACAATCATACTTGTTATTCTGTTTTTCATATCATTTTGTTTACAGGAACTGCCCAATCCGTCGGATGCACTATTGATGGAGTCCATCCTCATGATGTCATCGACCAGATCGCCAATGGAGAAATCGAAATCCCATCCGAGTGATTTTGTTGTTGTTACTGTTTTATAAATTGTTATTTTCACTTTATTTTTCTCTTGAATTGACTTACAAGACACGGTGGGGGGATTTAGTAATCATGATAACGGCGAAAGCAGATCGATAATTTGAACGGGAGGGAATATAAAATCAGACCTTTAATTCATTAGCATACCAAGTAATAATTGGAATACGGGTTCATTTAAAACGATCCGAGCAGCAGGAGCGGTTGCGTCATAAATTCGTTTCAGAACAATCGGTATCGTTGTAAGTGGATATTCTAAATGAACTAAGGTTGGTATGTTTTATTAACAAAAAAAACAGGATGTTTCGATCGTTGTGAAAAGTGGCGCGAAATGTCTGTTTCACAATTAGTAAGCGTAAAGGAAAGATGTGACTAACCTCGCAGATTAAATAAGATATTAATGACAATAAGATTTCGTTTGTTTAATTAGTTGTTTCTTGTTTCTTTTAATATTTATAACGGGTGTTAGGAAATTTCTGCATTATGTCATTATTTTCAGGACTTTTACAGTCAGTTGGTGAAACATTGATGAGTAGGTTGTTGGGCAAAACGATTATTCTTTGTTGAAGTTAAGCAAGTTTATTAGTTTCATAACATTATTAAGCTTATTTTTTAGATAGTTGTTCGCGCATTTGGTTCACATTTTATCTTTTGAGTGACGCCTTATCTGGTATATAACGTACACCTACGACGGAGTCACCAGTTACGGTCTTGGGCACGATTAGCAGCTGTTGAGTATTTTACTATTGGATTATTTTGCTTGAACTTCATTTCCAACTATTTATCCCTGGCCCCTTGCTGAGAGTATGTAAATGATCAACATCTGCGGCAAGCACTGGAGAATCTACTCCATCTAATGGTTCCGTGCGGGTGTTGCCGTTTTGGCGCCAATATCGGAGAGGATCGATCGATGGGGGTACGGTTAGGTGGGGGTGGTATTTTAGCAGTGTGAGGCAGACAGGCTGCGTAAGCACATGGGCAAGGTCAAGCAATGAGGAAAGAGATGGTTGGCTTGGTTGACCCTTACCCAACAGCACAACCTCCTTTTTACCTTTTATGCATATTTGTGTCAATCAATGACCGCCGTATCTGTATATAGCTAAAATATACTTTACTAATATTGCTAACTACGTGCTTTATCTAATTAATTCTATATAACATAAAAGCTTATAATCTTATATCTAAAATTTATAATATTAGACAAAAAGAAAAACTGATATGTGTTATAGCTCTATGTGGGAAGGACCTTCCTGGCTTGTGGCTGAACGCGAAGCTAATAAGGCTCTTCAGGAAGCAAGTCCCCCTAACAAGTGGCCCCGAGTTACAACCCCACCTAGTCGTCGCCAATCTCTTCTTAGTGAAATTGACGATTCAGGCTTAGGATTGTCGTTTTGTAGTCCGCCAATTCCTCAGAAGGTAGAGCATTTTTTTCATTAGTTACAGCAACTGATTCTTTCTTATGCAGACTGCAGTTAGTTCATCACCGCTCCGGACGCCAAGAACTCGAACAATTGTTCACATGAGCAGTACTCCTTCCCCGTTTCGGTTTGCTTTTCCATTTTTGTTTTTTTTTCTTATTTTTCAATGTTTTAGGTCTTTCCGATTGTCATCTTTTTCCTCCCCAACACTCTCTGATCGGGTATTGAAACTTTCTAATTCTAATAATGTGTTGGGTATGCGATTTTCCCATTTCGTAGCATATCTTTTCTTAGCAGGTGTTAAATTTTGTGAAAATTCGATGGACAAATCCCATGGACAGCTCGATATCGCTGGCTTAGCGAGTAATAGTGCTGCAAGGTTTGTGCTTTGCTAAGACGTTACTAATATTTGTTTTCATCATTCAGGACGCTTGAACTTCCCACTACAAGTAAAGACCTGACTGCGACTGCACCTACACCGATGCAGATGGAACCTCCTGAAACACCTAGTAAATGTCTTTCGGTAGTAAAGATTTTGTGTTCATTTGTTAAATTAAAAATTTCAGCTCGAAGAGTCTGGACTCTTCGAAGACAGTTATCCGCTTATTTCTACTTCTACCCCCCTCAAAAATCTTTCATTTGAATCGAACCGAGTTCCACTTCCAGGATGTGATATATCGTGAGAAGCTTCATATCTTTCATGATATTTTCCTGTGTTCTAGGTTGATCTCGGATCCTTCTTTCCCTTTCAGTGATGGAGATCCTCAATCTCCAACAACTCCCTCTTCTTTCAAGAAAGTCATGATAGATGTAGAAAGAAAAGGAAGCTTACGACCTTGCCAAATTTTAGTTAGTTTTTCCTTTTCATCTTCGAGTTATTAGTTTTCCGAGGAGAAGCACACGTTAAGTTGAATTACACGATTCTTTAGCTTCTCAAAAATATATTATTTTTCTCAAAATCATTTTCTTAAACCGGAGAAGGTTTTTGTTTTGTTTTTCAATGGTAGCAACCGGTAGCTGATAAGAGGCAAAAAGCAATAATCGTGTGAAGTTTTCCTCGGTTACCGTTTACGAATACCTTGAAATGGCTACTTTTTGATAAGCTTTTATCAAATTCATGCGCGTAAGACAAGCTTTTGAAAAGGTTGAAGCTAGAGCTTGAGCGGCAAACCTTCTCTAATGTTGCAATCTTTACAATGGGTTAAAGAGATTATTTCGTCGTCAAATATTTATACTGTCGTTATGAAACAGTGCTTTCAGGAGAGAGATGAAGGTCCGCCGGCCAAAAAACCAAACATGGATACAAGTGAGGTTTTTCGATCCCCGAAGAAACCTATAAAGCCCGTAAGTTGCTGCTTCTTCAGAATTTGTCCTTGAGAAGTTTTAAAATGTCATTGCTTATAACTATTGCTTGCAGTATTCACGAAAGTGGCTGCGAATCGTAACAGGAGACACAAAAGCTCAGAGAGACGTTACGTTGTCTGCCAAATCTTTTCTAAGCGGAATGGTTAACTCGTAGAACTTTCAATGTGTCGTAGCGTAAGTGCTGCTCTTTCTACTAGTCTTATATAGTCAGTATGGACTAACCCTATTCGAGTGTGACGGTTTCTGAACTTTCAACTGTATAGTGGCTCCGCCCTTTGGCAACCTAACAATTTCATTTAACCTCCACTGTTTCATGCTTCGTCAATCTATTTATCAGGCTGGATCTCTGACCTTTAATTTATGTACCATTCGTGTATCTTTTAGCTCATAATGGTTCTTTATCTTTATTTTATTAAATATATTTCTAAATTTTTTTCAAATACTTTCTTTTATAACTAAAGTTGACTAATCTGGTGAATGTAAACTTTTGCTCGCTTTATGAATATCTTAGCTTTTTAAGTCCTCGATGTTTATTGTTAAGTTGTAGGAAATCGTCATGGCCTATAAAAGCTCAGTTTTTTGTCTGTTTCTTTGCCTCATCAGCGTAAGTTTTGATTTATCATTGTTTTAGATACTTGAACGTTATCTATATACCCATATTCTGGGTGGCCTCATAAGGACAATCGTGGTAACACATGCTTCTCTCTCTATCACTGGAGAGAGTGGTTTTCGAATTTCCTTCTGAAGTTTAGGCAGCTTCTATAGCTGGGCTAAGTGTCATTTCATATATGTGGACGCCTCGATACACATGAATCGCCTTCAGCGATTTCTTCCTAAAAAGCACTACTCGTGAGGTTCATAAGGTTTAAAAACTTTGCTCCGCCACAAAGGTAGAGTGTTGACTCGCAGAAGTTTTCATTCCCTTTTCATTAATACGTTGTTTCCACAAAGCCTGATGTAAGTTTCTTCAGCCGTTGCCATTAACATTTCCTCCAAAAAGTGGTTGAGGACACGATGAAAAATCAATTTAACGTCCACGAAATAGAAAATCCTATTATGAATAGACGACAATCGCGTTATTTGATTAATGCTGATAATCATTGTGTTGCCGTTCTTCATGAGCAAAATTTCTCTTTTTTTTTCTGCAAAATGACGCATTGACACTTTGGCTTAGCTCTAAGCTCAATGCCTTTTACGGCAGAGAGGCAAAAAAGAAATTTCTTTCCCTTCATCTGTCGATTTTCCATTTTTTTTCGTAGATGTTAAAGATCTTCAGTATAACCAGATGTATGGGATTCTGCTCTTAACAGATGTTTTCTGTCCTCATCTTATGTAGTCTGGTTTGTCTCAAATGGAGTATCGTTAGTGTATCCTTGGTTCTGAACACATAAAAATTGAAAAGCAATGTCTATGAAACGTTTCATTCATCAATCTACAAGAATTGAATATCATAAAGATTTTCTCTTGTCCTAGAAGAAAGGCAGACTCCTTGAATAGAATGAACATTAGAACGAACGTTCCATTGAACAGTTTTTAGTCATTTTTCAATTGAACTTGGAATCGATAAGAAGCTTTTTTAATTTGTGAGAAGTGAACCAAACATCGTCTGAGGCAAACATACTTGCCATTGTCAATTTCCAAGTGTTTGGCAAGCCAGAAGATTGTGGAGGACCTGTGAAAACATTGAAAATCGTGTTTCCAAATATTCTTTGAACCAACTTCGTCCTTTTTTTACGTATTACAAATAGCCTTTTTCAAATAAACCATCACTTGTTTCTATAGCAACGCTAAGTTGGCAACATTGCCGTTGTTAGAATCTGGCGTTCGATTCTATCTTTCCTCATGGTTTGCATTGCGGAGAGATAGAGATATAGAGCCCGTTATTACTTGATTTGATCAACTGTTTATACGTGTGATTTCGGGCAATTCACTAAAAATAAAGTGATAAAGAAGCTTTTATGGCTTTACGACACTCTTCGCTCTGTTTTGTCAACTCTTTGCTATTGTAAACTTCTTATAGATGGTTTCGTCGGAGTGGGACAAGTCTTTTGCTATCGTTCGAAGCTTTGTTGGAGACGATGTGCCTGCTGAACGCATTGAGAACGTACTTCTCAAATTTTCTCAGGTATTTAAAACAATTGTTTGAATTTACTGCATGGTTTCACAGAATGGAACAAAATCATTGACAATTGATGAGAGCAACGCATTGTTTCGACGAGTACTTCACCCGCTTCAAAAGATGAAAATCGCTTTGTTAGTCGTGGATTTCCAAAATGATTTTGTAACTGGATCTCTTAGCATAAAGGTCTGAGAAAGAAAGATGAAAGAATTAATGTCTTAGATAACTGACCACCTGTCATCTTTCACAGTTTTTTTGTTTCAGAACGGAGATTCTGGAGATGATCCCATTGATGCCTTACCCTCTTTGAATACTTTAATCCAACATCCAAATCTAGACTCAATTGTTTATACAATGGTTCGTTAGCTATGAGTTTCAGTTGAAAGGTTGATAATCCTATGGAGATCTGGACCGAAATGATTTATGCGTATATTCGGAGGAAAATGAAAATCCATTCCAGGACTGGCATCCATCTAATCATATTTCTTTCTACGAGCATGCACGAAATTCTGACCGAGTGCTATCTCCAGACGATAAAATCAGGAAACTACGACCATTTGATATCGTTCGCTTCGAAATACCAAACACAGTACAAGTAAGTATTGAAAGGGCTTTTTTTGTAAACGTCTTATCTCTGAATTATCAATCGTACCTACCGCTATCTGCTTACACAGGAAGAACTATAAAGACTTGTTATTGACCATAAAAATGCACAAAAGAGAATTCAAAGTGTTCACCGCCGTCTCAATAAGTTGTAGAAAGAGGAGTAAATAGAGAGAATGAGGAAAATAGTTTGGAATATGCTGTCATCTGCCTCTCATTCAACTCATTAACAAGTCGCAATAGCCCTAATGAGAGAGATGCCACTTCATCATAAATCTGCAGATTTGACAGTAATTTGACCTTTTCGTCGTTGTCTCTTCACCAACCTAAAATCTGTCAGTCATTTTTAAATATTGCATCATCATCCTCCTCTTCGTTTGTATGCTATTTGTAGATAATCCTTAATTATATAGAATTGGCACGTGATTCTGAATGCCATGAAGATATAACAACCACACAAGACTAGAAACAAACCATTTATAGATACTTTACCCAACTCACTGTGTCCAAGGGTCATGGGGAGCACAACTACATCCTCAGATGATTATTTCACCGAATGCGAAGTATATTCGAAAAGGAACTGATGTTCATATCGATAGTTATTCGGCTTTTAAAGAGAATGATGGAGCGAGAAGGTGCTGAGTAACTTGGAAATAATTTTTAATAATCTCTTTTGCAGAACAGAATTAGATTCCTTGCTCAGAGATGATGGTATTACTGCCGTCTTAGCATGTGGTTTGGCCTACGATATTTGTGTGATGCACACCCTTAAGGATGCTGCTAGTCTTGGATACTTATCGGCTATTGTTACAGACTGCAGGTTAGCAGGTGGTGACAACAAATTACACATGTTGGATCTTTTATAGCAAAGGATTATCCACAGAGAAGAAGAAGGAAGCAGATGATCTTTTCCGAGCTAAGAAAGTGGCGATTGTATCAGAGGATACTGCAAGCAGCATAATCGATAGACAAGCTGTACCAATAGAATGGCTTGAAGCTTTGGCATGCCGATCAAAATAATCATTTTACAATAGATTATTTATTTTATATACAACATGTAAGTACATCTCATAATATATCAGAATCATATTAGGCATTTACTTTCTCTTTCCTGCAACAGAACTTCCAAAAGAGCTTGAATTTTAAATCATTTGGATTTCCGGATTTCTATGTATTGCAACTTTGATCTTCTGGATTTTCTTCTTGGCTCTCTTTCATCTGTCGATTCTTAGCTCTTTGTTTTTTGGCTTTTTGCTCTTTGGCTTTTTGCAGTTTCTTGAACTGCTCTTCGTAACAATTGTCTCCGTTGAAATGTCTGTCTAGTATGAATTTCATTCTCTCAAATGCTATATCTATATTCTTGGGTAGCAGTCTTGATTCATGTACCTAATCGAATGGTTCAAAACTTTATCTGTCTTCTTATTCACCTACCTTCACCACTAATCCAGTAGGTATGTGTCTTAGTTGTACAGCGTTCTGCGCAGTATTTACCTTCTGACCCCCTGGGCCCCACCCTGATATATACTTCTAGGAAAATAAACACTTTTCAGTCAACATATCTATCTTACTTGTTCGCAATCATCTTTTTTCACCTCTGGAAACTTATAATCTTTCAATTTCTCTTTAACTGAAATATTGCGCTTAGAGAATCGTACCAACGGGAGTACTCTCAGCATACTTCTACAATCACAATTCTAAGTTAGAGGATTACTTGGTACAACCAAGGTACAAAAAAACATGTGAGAAGGATACCCCCATTTACTATAGCTACTTCATCTTGAAAATATCTTCATTCAGGTAATTGCTATATGTACCCGTAGTGTTATTAAAAGCGTTAAGACATTGGTATTCATAACTGAATCTAGGATCGACAAATGTAAAACATAAGAATTAGAATATCATACATCTAATCATTATAAATATCAAACAGCATCTCCGTTACTCAGTTTTTCGCCTGCTCTTGACTGCGTAACAACATCAATCTCTGCTCTGCCTCTAATCTCATCTAAAGTCCAGTCCACTAGAAGTCGACCGTTCTCGAAAACTTTTACCAATACATCCTGAAAAACATGAGTTGGTATCTTTCACTGGTCAACTCACTTCTTCAGTATTGCCGAGGCCTTCTTCAATCGTTACATATTTTCCATTGATAATTTCTAATGTTAATTCGCCTTTCTTTGATTTTTTTCCAGAGTCAGTCGAAGGGTTTTTGGACACATTTCTCTGCAAGCCTTATCGTTGTTAAGAAAGTTGATGGAGTCATAAACCTGCTCTCCATTAATAATAACTCGGCTGCACTTGAAAGCACACTTTTGTGTATCACGATCCAACTTCTGAAGCAAAGCTCCACCTGTACCGAACACAATGTTCTCTGTGCTCCAGCCAGAGTTCTGACAAACAATTGTCAGCGTTGTTCAAACTTTTCATTTACCTTCAGAGATTCTAAGATTGTTTGTATTGATTCATGAGTTATTCCATCACCCTGCATGACCCGAATATAGCTTGGCAACAATTTATAACCTTTGTTATTCAGTGTGACTGGGAATTTCTCCTCCAATATTGATAACACCTTAAAATTATCTTTTAATCTCTTATCATCTCTTTCTGATAATGTTGACTCTGTGAAATCCAGGAATAGAGTTCTCATGGTTTTCGAGTGCCAATTGAGAGAAACCAAGACAAACCTTCAAAACTACTTGTATAGGATCGCCAGAATCCGGTCGGATGACAAGGCATCCGTTTTCCCCTCGACTTATAACTTCCTCTCTCAACTCATCACCCCATATAGAGGCCACAGCATTGAATATATCATAAGAATCAGAGACGACGGAAATAATACCTAAAAGCCCAGCTTTAGTCATTATATATATATAGAAGCGTTGAGAAACCTTCAGGAAATTTTTGTAACATGTTTCGGTAGGCTGCTGATTCCCCACACTTCCTCCAAGTTGTTATAGTACTAAAACGATGAATAACTGATACGATTTCAATAGCAAGTAGAACCTATGTTCAGAAGCGGGAACGCTGAATCCTGCCATGACGCAGGAATAAAACTTTCTACAGACTTGAAGAGCTGCAATGGTATCTGTTCCCATGAAGTTAACGAGATGAGCCGCACCCCCGATCCCTGCACTCTGAAAACTAGAAATTTTAACTTTCCCTCTTGCACTTTATTACCTCGACCGATGTGGATCCTCTATAGCCAAAATCATGTAGTTTAAAAGGTAATCCGGCTAAAGAATCGCTAGTCTCTAATAGATACTTCGCAATGATCTCTTTTTGGGCCCTCGAATTAGTACAAACAGTCAGTGGATACCAAGATTGAACAAGAACTGTCTTGAATTTCAGATGTGATGAAAAGAAAGTATTGAAAAGTTTAACCTCAAACCATTGTGTAAGCCAAGGTACTGCTGGATCTGTGTTCTCAACTGTGAACAACACATTTTTCACTGGAACCACAGTTCCTTCAGGAACAGCTTTGATGCGCAGCGGAAGGCAACCGTTATGTTTCTTAAGAAAGTCAGTCAAAATTATGATTCTCGAATGAGTTGTTTATAGTACTTCAACTATATGCATCCAACCCTCCTCATTAAACACATCCATGTTTCCAAAATGAACCTGATGAATATAATGTTTGAGCGAGACCAAGATGGATTACCTTATAAAAATGTTTTGCTTGAAGCACCATAGCCTTGTTGACCACAGGCCCGACTAACCATCTTTTGAGAATATATTGTAAACCGAAAAAACATATTGAGGGAAATTTGCCTCCTCTACTTTCGAAATAAGAATAAACATGAGTTGTACCAGGAGGGTATTGGCTATGATGGGTAATCTAGGAGATATATGAAGATATAATGGAGAGAGTACGGAACATACTTTATAAGAATCTGCTAAATATAATATATTTTCAACAAAACTTTCTTCCATCACAATCTCATGTATATATATATATATATAAATGGATACTCCAACCAAAGAACTAGCACTGCAACCTGAAATTCAGCTAAGTTGAGAGTTTTCCTAAACAGGAAGAGGTATTAAACGGTTGAACTCATAAGGCGTGAAAATAAAAGCAAAACGAAACGAAATAAAATTGTAGCATAAGCAAATCCTGTTGGACATCGAATCACATGCAGAACATGTTACGCCATATAAGGATAATTGACTTGAGCATAACATGAGAAGAATTAAAATAGCTTTGGGCGTTTTTCTTTGCACGATATATTGCGACTCTTTATCTGAATCAAGCATAGAAATGTTTCTCATAGAAATTTATGACATAAAGAAATTATGTACGTTATTAGGACATGCACAATTGAAAAGGAAATAATCACAATCCTCCTGCGAAATAAGAGCCAACATGTAACGGAATTAGTGCTAATCCATCGTTATTCTGTAAATCAGATGCTGGAACGACGGACACTATCTGAAATACATGCATTGATCAGATTATAGAAACTAAAAGGGGTTGAGTTACGAACACTGCGACAGAGCAGTCTTCCATCACTATGTTTTAAAGAAGCAGACTCCAACTTTTCGATTTCAGGAAAATGCTCTTTCTGTAATATTGGTGAAGAGTGCAAATTCAGTTATAATAAGTATTAAACTGACTCCTAGTGTAACAAACACGATTGACATAGGATGGGGAGCTGAGTCAACGATGGCATCAATTGTTCTGCGCGAGTTGGTGATTCCTCCATTTGTAAAAACCACGAGAACAAAATAAAGACCTAATCGTCTCTTTGACTCTGCTTTAGCGAATCTGAACTTTTTATGTTTGGATGTCTCATTGTTACAAAAAGTGTCTGTCTGACTTAGCGACATGATATATAACATCCGCATACTCTGTGGGAGCGAACGGTTGAACAACGAGCCGTGCTTGTGAGTACGCTTCCAGTACTCCTTGTAAGCCATCTACATTAGCAGTAGCAGAATTGCCTGACTGAAAAAATATAGGCGATTTCCAACGATATATGAACAGGAAGAGAGCCTACCAAATTGAAACATTGCGAAAATGAATGATTTGGAGGAATATATGCTCCAAAGCCTACGACTCCTGTATGAAATGTTGGAAGTATCATTCTGTATTAAGAATTTACCTATATTACGATTGGCTTGGTGTTTTGTGACAGAGGGGACCACGTAGTTTAAAGCCATTTCATAAGGAGTGGGGTAATGAGAAGTATGAGGATGAATGTAATGCAACGAATCCGTGTTGTTAGGATTTCCGTTCGAAGCAGTCATATCAACTCCAAGTGTTATGGGTACATGCATTCTATTGTATTTGTGATCATACTCGGAGTTGACGAATTTCTACCCTTGATTAACAGCATCGAAAAACGATGGTAGCTTTCGTAAGTTGAACAAACTCAATTGGAAGCAGGTCTTCTCATCTATACGTTCTCCCGAAGTATTGATCAACTGAAAAATGTGTTTAAGAATTAATATATTTCTTTCTCAGTTTCGAAAACTGAAGTTCAGATTAGCATATCGATTGATCAGGAACCAGTGCATACAGTTCAAATTTCATTTTTGAAAAACAGAGGCAATGACACGGTTGTTTTTGTTTTAGTTGCTATGATCGTTTTCGCATTAAGTTTTGAACAGGTAAAATCAAACCATATAAGTGTTTATCGGTCCGATCCCCTGCAATAATCTACTGACCGTTGTTTCAAACATGCCTACAAATATTTTTTTTATGCCGAAGAATGCTTCCCATCAAACCTATTATACTATCTTCACTATTTATGTTATAATTGTAACAGTAAACCCGTAAAGTTGCTGTGGGAAACACTTCCATCAAATGAGACGGTACCACAAAAGCTTTCCATTTTGGATCTTTTTCTAGCTGAAATTTCGTTCGCTTTCATGACTTAAGCAACCACAGTGAAAGACCTTAATTATTTCCGATTTGTATAGAAGCACATCACGAGAGGGAAAGTGCAAAACAAGGTAGTAATATGAAGCAAGAGGTAAACTATTCGGAGAATGAATATGTTCTCCATGAAATTGTAACTGTATCCCATTGGAATACTTATCGACATCCAAAAGATTAACTTCAGCGTCTATACCATTTTGTGGAAAATTTAAACGACATTTGTTCATCATTAAAGAAGCTAAGTCAAAGGAGCACCTCCCAATCTCGCCAGCGAACAAGCCGTCAGCTCTCACAGCATATCTTCAATTTGGATTTTAGGCTTATTATCTATACTAGCTACGAAGTACATTTTTATGAGAACAGAATTGCTCCGATCGAATCTGTATGGCACTTGGCACACATGACGAAAATACACGTTGGTTTCATTAAGCACAGTTTCAGATTGTGAAATCTAAAGTACCCTAATCATTATTTTCAATATACAATAAGTACTTCGGTGAAATATTTGTTTGTTCCACAAACAACGGAAAAGCTTGCTCGCGTGCCGACCACTTCTTGGGACAGTTTTACATTTCTACATAAAGCACGTGAAACACGAAACAGAATGATAAACTACCTGACTACCAAATTGATAGAAAAATTGAAAATCACCATATCTTTAACAAAGCACAGTCAAATCCACATACTAATCAACAAGCAGCAAGCAATCAGCGGTTAACTCTCGAAGTTGCTTGAATCATCGTCTTTTCGATTTTTTATATTTGTTTGTATATTTAAAAGTCGCGATTTTGCGTATCTGTAGATGAAAACTAGCATACAATTCCTTATCAGAAAATTCCTTAAAAAAAGTTGCTCATATCATTGAGGAATTTTAAAAAAGTCAAGAGTTCTATATAAGTTGCTCAAGAGCGGGAGGACCAATGGTTTGATCACGGTGCATCCTGGAGAGAAATTAAAACTTAATAGAACACAAAAATAATCAACACTCCAAATTGCGCCTGTTCGGGTGAATGCTAATACTGAATTTCCTATAAGCATCAACAACCCTTGTCTCGCAATACTGTGCTCTTTACGAAGAAGGCGTTTGTTCCGTAAAATTGCGTACACAAATATTTCTCGAAGAATTACGGAACAAAACCTTTCTTTTTAAACGCCTTCTTCATTAATAAGAGTTGCATTATGTTACGATCCACTTGTAGGTTCTTACCGAAGGTTAGAATACAAACATCATTCTATCTCTAATAAAATGATATAGCTAAACAGACGATTAAATACTTCATCATCAGTGAGAAGGCAAATCTATGTGCCTGAAACTAAAGTCACCACTTTGCCGAGTGGTTTCCGGGTAGCTACTGAGAATACAAATATCCAAACTGCTACAGTGAGTCGAACGTCTTAGATACTATTGAAAGCTTTTCTTCAGGTAGGTGTATGGATTGATGCAGGATCTCGTTATGAGAATGAAGAAAACAATGGCACAGCTCATTTCCTGGAGCACATGGCTTTCAAGGTGAATCAAGTTATCATTCGAAGTTTTACAGTTTCTCTTAGGGTACTTCGAAAAGAACAAGGCATGGCCTTGAGTTGGAAGTTGAAAATATTGGAGCTCATTTGAATGCTTACACTTCTAGAGAACAAACAGTATATTATGCCAAGTGCTTCAAAAAAGACATAGAGCAATGTAGGTTCAAAGTATTCGATGTGCAATGAGCTTTTCTTTTCAGCTGTTGAAATCTTATCTGACATTTTATTACATAGTAAGTTAGATGAACGTGATATCGAAGCTGAACGTGGAGTTATTATCAGAGAAATGAGAGAAGTAGAACAAAATTTCCAGGTTTCTTTTATTTTTTGTTCTTCTAATGTGATGAGCTAGGAAGTTGTTTTTGATCACTTGCATACGGAAGCTTTTTTGAATAATCCACTTTCCATGACTATACTTGGACCAGAAGAGAATATTAAGTAAGAAAAATTTTTTCCAACTTTTTCAGTGAACTTTTACAGTACTATTTCAAAGAAGCATTTATTGGATTATATTTCGACCCACTACCGTTCTGGACGAATGGTTCTTGCTGCTTCTGGTGGCATCGACCATGATGAAGTGCGCAGTTTTTCTAAAATCATTTCTCAGTTATTTTCGAGCGAATGCGGTTGTGGTACTCGACCAATCACATATTAGAATGTAGAGTCTTGATCAAACTAATTTCTTCATTTCTAGGCTGTCCGGCTAGGAGAGAAATACTTTGGCCGTTTACCATTAGGTGATGCTTCTGCTAATTTCCAACCTGCAGTCTTCACACCATGTGATGTGAGTTAGAGATAATTTTTCGTCAGTTTTTTTGAAAATTCTGTTGCGTTCAGATTAATTTAAAGTACGAGGGTATGGGCTTCATTTATGGTGCTGTAGTAGTAGAAGGTGTTTCATGGACACATGAAGATAATCTAACACTTATGGTTGCGAACACGGTGAGGTTGCGCTGTGAAAACCTCTAATTATGTTTCAATCTATTAAGCTCTTGGGCGAATTTGATAGAAGTCGTGGATTTGGTATGACTGCACCTTCACGATTGGCGTTAAGACTAGGAAGACATGCTGGAGTCCAATCTTTCCAGGCTTTCAATACTTGCTATAAGGTTTTAAGCTTCTCGAAAATTGTTTAACTGTTTACTAGGACACTGGCCTTATTGGAATATATTTCGTAGCCGAAGAAAACTCTTCCGAAGCTCTCATTGACGCCATTACCGAAGAATGGAAATGGCTGGCAAGCTGTAGGTGATATCAAGCATGATTTTCACAGCTTTTTTATTCAGCTGTTGACGAAGCGAGTGTTGAGAGAGGGAAGCGAACCCTCCTTACAAATTTATTGCTGATGTTGGATGGCTCAACACCTATTTGTGAAGATATAGGAAGACAGCTGCTCTGCTATGGGCGTAGGATGCCGATCCCCGAATTGGAAGAAAGAATAAAGGTGAACTAATTTCTTTTCAACACATTGGAAGTGGTATTTTTAATATATCAGCGGGAAGTCATTTATCTTCACAAATGACTTGATTATTTCATATGCACTTGAAATTGATAGACATTTGCTTAAATCTGTACTTAATGTCATCAACACCTCTTTCCGCCTTAGTCCAGCTTTGAAATACGTAAAATAATTAATCAATAGTGAACACATCTCAGTCACCCCGTATTACAACATTTCAACAACAGCGCACCTGTTTTCTTATACATGCATCGAGGTTGAAATGACTCTTTTATCCGAGTTTGCTGAGCATTACAGCAGTACCATGAGTATTTCATAAAAAAGATACTGCAAGCTCTGAATCAACATCAAATTTATCAAAAATCAAAGCAAGTATAATAGAATAGTCATTTTTCAAATTCGAGAGACCAGTAGTCTGAAAAATATAGTCGATGTGATCAATGCTCTGATACCTCAAGATTCTGCTTGTAAACAAGTATAATATTCGAATTTCAGGCCATTACCGTTGATACTGTCAGAAATGTTTGCCAAAAACGCTTCATCAATAGGAAAGTTGCAACTGCTGTGATCGGTAAGCTCTTGTCACTGGATTTCGCTTAAGGTGTCATAAATCATGTTAAATCTTCCGGAAGTTTCTGTCAAAACTTTTTTTTTTACAACTGATAAAAAAAAAGACTAATTGTTATTTTGAAACAGAACTTTTTGGTTTTCATGTTTTCTATTAACTTTCCGAATATGATGATGTTTGGCTCTAGGACAACGATCAAGCCAGTCAATAATATTGAGTTATTCCAGGGCCGACAGACCGATGGCTTGGCAAAGGAGAAATAGAGAAGAAGCTGTTCAACTAAAAATTTGAAATAGACTATTGAGTGAAGAGAGTCGAGAAGTAGAGAGAGAATGAAGAGAACCGCAGCCGTTATGTGATGCTTGTTTCATTAACACTTCGTACATGTCATCAGGCTTTTTGTTGTTTTTTCAATCGACCTTAACTCTTACCTTCGCGCTTATGATGTAAAATAGCCGTTGTTATAATATTATTGTTAATTTTCTCCACAATAAATTTTTATTTCATTCCTTTTCAGCTTAAGTTGATTACTCCTTAGTTTACTTCTATGCCTGTCCTCCTTCGGGCGACGGGCGCTGGCTCGCGTCAGATCGGTCCAATCAGGCCTACATCACAGGTTATTTGTGGTTGCATAATCAAGACACATGAATCTTTAGGCATCAAACGATACGTTAAGGGTTCCTACAGCTACAAGTAGAAGGGTATCCCAACAATCAGTATCAGCTAGCCTCGTCACCGGAAATACTGTTATCCCCGTGAGTTATATACTGACCTATCGACATCTTCACTTATATCTTATACCATTGCCTAATTACAATGGAAATAACTACTTGAAATTATTGAAACAATTAGTTCAATGTATTCATTTTTCTTTTTCAGGGGGTTAGAAGAACAGCCTCAGCTGCCACTCCAGGAGCACAAACATGGAGAGAATGGTTTCGATTAGCTTATAGACGTTATTATCTCAAAAACCTCATTCCTCTATTGGTGATAATGTTCTACATGCTAATCGGATCTCTGATATTCTATTGGTTAGAAGGCTCTCATGATTCAAATGTCAAAGAGGCAGCTTATAGACATTATAAGTAAGTTTTGTTTAACTGAACAAATCAGAGAATTGCGATTTTTAAAATTGTTCGTTTGTCGAAATGGATATGTTGATCGTTCTCAAGTTGTCACTCGGTGACAATGAGGGAGACATGTAAAGGGTCTCTGAGTGAAGTTATGTTGTTTCGGAAAAGGTGAAAGAAGATCAAACTATTTTGGAGTTGTGAACACTTGTTTTATACAATTTAAAGAAGCATGCTAAAGTAAAAACTTTTTTATCGATAAAAGTGTATTGGCTGTGGTCTCAAGACTTTAGAGTGCATTTTCGGACATCCCACTCCTTCACATTCACTCATCATAATCACAATAACAGATGATGATGAGTTGAAAGCTCGAAGTTCTCCTCACTTCTCCTCACTTCTTTTAAACATCTGGTGGGACAGTTAGGAAAAAAAATTCGTCGCAAGTTGTGAAATCTTGGGATCTCTGATTGTTTCAGTCGAAGAACCACCTGGTCAAATTTTCGTATAAATCGTTAGTAAAGATATCAATCGTGAAGAATGCAATTGATATACGATAAACTCATAAAAGCTTTTTTCTTCTTTATCTCTCCTGGGTGTATGGTGAAGGAAAACGAGTGAAGAAAATTAAGAAAAATTGTTTTTACTTTCAGAAAAGAAAGGGAATTCTTCTACAGACGTGTGGAAGAAATAGTTCAAGATAAGGCTTTAGCAACACGGGTTTCTCGGAAGAAGGCAGTACTTGATGCCATCACATACTTCGAGGAAAATATTGGCTTTTCTGTAAGTTTATTGATTATTGTTCTTCATGGTAACTTGAGAATGGTTCAGATTTCCCCTAAATCCCCTTGGGATCTCATGACTGCCATGTACTATTCAGGAACGTTATTCACTACAATCGGTAATCATCTCTTGCTCACAGCTTTAGTAAATTTGAATTTTCAGGGTATGGTGATGTATCATGTGTTACTACAGCTGGAAGAATTCTGACTGTTATTTATTCCTGCATCGGAATCCCGTTGATGCTCATTACGTTGAATGATTTAGGAAAATTTCTTTATAATAATATCAACGGATGTGTCAAGGTAACCAGCTCGTCTACGAATGTACCAGATATCATTTCCTTCAGAAAATTGATAATGTTTACCTGGGTGTGATACGTATGTGTAAAAAACCATGCCAGGCTACAGCTCCAGATGAGGTTAGTCATGAAATAACGCGATTGCATCACTATAATGTTTAAGGTGGATATGGTTGAAAGGGGAGATGGTGGGCCTGCTGGTGATGTATCGTCTGTAGCTTCTGAAATCGGCTCTGAACATAACGAAGATGAGCTAGAAGATGAGGAACTGGGGCGACAACCTCCTCGAATGAGTGTTAAGGTATAATATTTAGAAATTCTATATAAATCATCTCTGCTGAAATAGGTTGCTTTGGGTATAACCATAGGGTGGATCTTCTTCTGTTCTTTCTTGTTTCGGTTATGGGAAGATTGGACGTATGGAGAGAGTCTATACTTCATGTATATTTCCTTATCCACTATTGGATTGGGTGATATATCGGTCGCCAGAAGAGAGTAAGTGAAAGTATAAATCGAAATTCTGACATGGCCTTTTAAGTATGATGGTTTTGTGCTTTGTTTTCGTGATTGTTGGACTATCACTCGTTAGCATGTGCATCAATGTGGTTCAGGTAAAACCCTTTTCAACAAATTATGACTTATTATCGATCAATAATAGGTGGCCCTGGAAGACTTTTATATCAACATGATGATGAAGCTGATCATGGAATACCAGGAGAAACTGGCTGCCGGTATTTTTTATGGCTCTTATTATTATCAAGTAACTCCTGATTGAAGGTGGTGATCGTATGGGTGCTTCTGTTGGCATGATGAAAATGTGGGGAAACAACAGAACAGCTAAGCTTCTAATGCCTTTGTTGAGGTGAGAAAAAAAAACAACCGCTCTGTCAATGTATTTTTTCAAAATGGAACTTTCTTCACGTGAAATTCACGTGGAAATGGATCGAATTGATAATACTTTGAAATTTCAGTAAAGAGAAGAAGAAAATGGCTATGGAGAAAGTTGAAGTTGAAGCTAAAAGCCAGGGATTAGATGTTCCAACCATACTGACAGATTTAGATGATAAGACAGGTGAGCTTTTTTGTTCTGCTTTTACGCAGTGTTTCATGTTTTTGTAGGTATGCCTAAACTGCTCTGCATCGAAGAAGATTCTGATGAAAACAATGTGTCCTTGGAGTTGGAAGCTATGGTACAGAAGCAGGTATTTAGTCATTTTCTGTTCTTTTTGTGAACTCTTCTGTTTCAGATATTAGATGAAGAAGCAGCTGTTTTACCTATTTATATAGCGCATGATTCGGAAACGCAAACAGATTCCATTACTTGGTTTTGTCCATAATTCGGTACTCTGCATGATATTTGAACTTTCAGCGTAGAAAAAATGGAACAAACTGTAGAAATTCAAGCTACTGATGAATGCATGCAAACGGAATCAGAAGAAAGATTGGAACGAGGAGAAGTTGAGACACAGACAGATTCATTCCAAGCCTCAACAAGTAATGCTGAAATTCAAACAGCCAAAATAGATTTATGCGATGCTGATACCATCACAGCGGCTCAACAAACAGATGTAAGCTCCAAGTTCAAACAGTATTATAGAAAAACTCTAGTACATATTGTTTCTAATTCTGAGTAAATCAAAGAACTTGGTATCTTGGGGATAGCATAGGAAGTATTAAGATAAAAGCATATTGACTCTGAGTTTGATTCGATTTACAAGCTGCCTAGCAAATTTTATTACAAACGTAGAAGCTTCATAGATTTTCTCAAAATAGAAACAATTTGTTTTTTAAGAGCAATGTGATGGCTACAGGATTCTTCTAATTTATTTAATTTCAGGATGAGTGCATTCAAACCGATGAAAGACAAATCATGGATCAGGAAGTACAGACTCATATTGCAGAACAAAATGATGCTCAAACAAGTTTTTATCAACGCATTAGGCGATAGTTAATTTGAATGTTACAGTTACGGAGATCGAAACAAAGAATATTAGGATACAAACACCTTGTCCAGTTATTGAACAGAAAACTATTCAAACGGAAGATCTCGTTAGTTCATTACAATTTTAAAGTAGCTTGTGTGTCTTTGTTAGGAAGAAAGAAAGTCACCATCGAAAATGTCTGAAGCTAAAAAACGTTTCCGTAGAGCCTTCGCTAAGCCTTCAAAACAGCGATCTCTAGAACCTGCTATGAGTGATTGGAAGGTATTGTAGAATTTTCATCTTAATCAATATTAGTTATGCTTAATCAGGATTATTGGAGAGCTCTTCCCTACTTTGATTTCTAACAATTCGCTTATCCCATATAATCTTTACTCCTGTATATTACGGCAAAAGTCAAGATTATCTTCAAATTAACACCTCAAGGAAAGAAAATAACTTCTACTAAAACTTTCCGGTTTTACTACGTTTTGTCATTCTCACTTCGATGATTAACGATTATCTTTTTGGAAATCAAACTACGTTTCTTTTGCAGGAAGTAGATGAAGAAGAGAATTCGAATGCTGAAGAGGTTGAAGATGAAGGATCAGTGGAATCACTCCATTGGGACCCAGTGAGTTTTTTTTTTTCGAGAGAGAGTTCGTTTGAATGTTCTCTGAGGTGAAATAATGTGGGTACCACTTTGAATAGCTGTATAGCTCAAATTGGCGAAAGTACGGAAGTTGGAAAATAATTAAAAGTTTGTTCTTAAAGGGTTAGATGAAAGAGAGGAAGACATGGACCGGTTATTTGTTTGTCGATATAGTGTGTGCCAAACATGTAAAAATACATTTGTGATAAATATATATATTGATTAGAAATGACACTACTGAAGGATAGTTTGTTTTAGTAAAAATAATAGTTGTCCACGTAAGAAAGAGTAAAGACGGAAATTGTTCCCAACTGAATCACGACAGCTTACATAACATTCCTTTGAGCTTATGAAATTTAATCAGATGAAGAAGAGTTGTCAGATCAATTGTATTCAAATTTCACAAGAGCAAAAAAGATAGTGTTTAGTACTTATTCTGAGTTCTCTTTAAGAAATGCTTCAAAAACTTCTGTCAATTGTTGAAATACTTCTACGTTACAGGTTGATGGAATGCACGCGGAAAAGCAGTTACCAGTCTCCCGCCTGAAGGATATGTTCGACAAAAACTTCCAGGATTCCAAGAAACGATTCGAGTGAATTTTTTTTTGCGTTTGCCATTGAATAACGAACGTTGGTAGAAAAGAACAATTGCTCTGCTAGATATTGTGTCAAAGTTGCAGTTGTGTGTCTCTTTCATTCCCGAGAACTCTGAGCACAGCTATTAATACTTCAAACTTATTAATCAATATTCACTTTTTTGGAGAGAACAAAAAAAACACTGATCCTTTGAGTCTGTCAGCTAACACGTTTTGAGTTGTCGTTTTTGGCATGTGATTCTGTTTTTATACCCTCTGTTGCTTTTCAGACATCGTGGACGTAAGTACTCATCATTCAAGAAGCAAAGAGAAACGTCCCGAACCAGAAAGAGTTCCGAATGAGAAACACATTACAAGAACTTTGACATTACTGATATCTTTGTACCCAATGTCATTCTCACTCTTTCTAAAAGCAAAACAGGGAAACTAATTCTTAATATGATCTATCTCTCTTTCTACTCCAACAATTCTCTCCAACTACAAACTATAAATGTATGGTCTCATTAATTAAGTTCTACTCTCATTCAATCTCTCACATTTGCTAACTATCTGTTTTCCATGTCGGAATGACGAAATGTTTTGAAGGAATCAGAGTTTTTTGCACCGGTTCACTGTCCGTTATTCCGGTCTTTAATAGTATTTCGACTTTCTACTGCTTTTCCTATCCAGCTCTCCTCATAGTAGGGCCACTTGTCATAACTTGTCTCCTGCTCATTCAACATGAGCATACTATTACCAAACTTAATTTTTACTCAACGCTTATTCAATGTAAGAACCCTATGTGCTTTTCCATTACTTCTCATTCATTTTTTTATGGAATGATAAGTCTTCTCTGTGTTTGAACATATGGTGTGCCACCACGACATTATGAAAGTCTTTCTATATGATATCAAATCAATTTTCGACTGAACTCTCATTCATGCTTATCTTCGTAATGTTTTTTTTGTATTCACTCGATGATGTTTTCCCCGGTTCTGGGGCTTCCACCATTCCCCCATATCGTCCCCATTTGTTCAACTTTTCCTGTTTGTATTGACTCCAACTTATTGTTCCTTCATTTTTTAGTATTGAAGAATACTGAAATTTCATTTTATTTACTGCTCCGAAGCTCACAGTTACATCTATGCAACCCTTCTTATACACATTAAAAATATTAATCTGTTCTTGTTTTATTATTCCATTGGCAATAACACAGCGACATGTGGTTTTCAAGTAACTCACAGTTCCAAGCAAGGCATTGAATTTCAGTCCTTAAGAGCCTCATCCATACTATCAAAACTCTTGTCGTTTCAGAGAATATCAAATTTTATCTCTAGCTTCTTTAAATCTCTCACTCACAACATACGTCTTTGACAAATATCTGATATTGCTCCTCCTACTATTGGTCTCTTAGGTACTAACCAAAAGACAAACAGACTGATAGAGACGCACATGGAACTCCCCACCCCTTTTTGTTTGGCTCCGCCCATTTTGTGTTTCTCTTAGTCTTTTGAAGACAGTAATAGACCTCTGCCATAGACAGATTGTTGCCGCTCAACGATGCTACGATTCACTTTTTTCCTTGCTGCTTCCTTACTTCTAACTATCCCTAGCACTCAGGCTGACATTTTTGACGGTATTTCAGGTATGTGTTTTCATTCTTTACAATTCACATTCAAAAATCTCATTGTTCGCTTGTGTTCGTTTTTTTAGTCATTGAAAAGATGGAGTAGGTTTGGGAGAAAGTTAACCAATTTGTGTGAAAAGAAATTGTCAGGTAGTCAAACTGAAAGAAATAGACAGCATTTGACAGGAGCAGATATGTATGTGAGGTTCTAGAATTTCAGTCTCACTTTCAATCATCAATACGATTGTTTTCTTCCTAATTTTCCCATTGTGATTTGTGGAACGTTTTTTGAATATTCGGTGTGATAGAAAGGATGTCGTTATAATCACAGCTCTAGAGATGCTGTAGAAGAGGCTTTCTCCTAAGGGAAGCGGTCAAACTCTGATGAAGAAAGGGCTTAATGGATTTTGAAGAATGTTGAAAAAGAAGCCATGGGAACGTAGTAAATCCTTAAGATTTAAATTGATCAGTGCAGTTCTCAGTTGACTGCTTTTGAGAAAAAAAAGCTTCCTCTATTGAACAAGCAGTAATGTCACTCATGCTCTATACGTCTTGTCCTCTCAGGGACTAAATCTCCAAATGGGAAAGAATGAAAAAGAGAAAGATTGAGGAGAAAAAGGTTATGGATGGCTGAAACTTTGAAACTCAGTAAAAAGGGAGAAAAGATAAAATGAAATTGAGTTTAAGATGAAGTTAAAGAAACTTTGCAGGAGTAGCCTCAGATGTTGGAGACTTCTTCACCAAGCAATTCAATTCCGCCAAAGACTTATTTGCTGGAGATCAAAATGTAAGATTTTATCTTCTACTTATACAGCGTTCTAATCACGATGAGCTTGAATTAGTATATGATGAAGAGTTATGGAGAATAATATTTGAATAGATTGCTTCAATTCGAACAAGCTTCCCTTTTCATGGCTGTTCAGCAGATGATGAAGTAATGCTTCTCATTAGTCAAACTGATGGTGACAGCTGTCAGTTCATAACCAAGATCTTTATTTAAAGATTTTGCCATTTTGGGGATTAAATGCAGGATAATGCTTTCGGATCTCTATGTTTTCTATGAAAAGCTGTTTCAATTTATGAAATCAAAAATTCTGTTTCCTATTGACCATATGGCAAAGTGATTGAATAGTTTCGAGTTCTCTTTCCATTTTGCCGATCATCAACATAAGCGAAAACGTTATTTTGAAACAAGATAGTTAAGGTCGTAAGAGTCTAAAACTGGTTTCCCGTCTGTTATTTCGTCATGAAATGTGAATGCTCTTTAGTAAACTGCCTAACCACCCTCGATATAATGCATGAGAGAGGGCAACGACTGTAAAGAACAGATATGTTATAAAAATCAGCTTATCGAACTGGTTGATGACGAATAGTCCTCTTACTTCAGGCTCATTCAGGGAAATAAAGTATTTCATTTCAGGAACTTGAGAAAAACATCAATCGCCTAAAGGATCTGTTGACTGCCTTGAAGGAGAAGGCTAAGGTTAGTACTGAGTTTCAGAACAAAACCCTCATCTCTAATGCCTCGCTATTCAAAATGCATATTAAAAGTAACTTTCGGGCGTTTTGAGATAAAAATTGTTGCCAATTTGTCAAACACGAAGAGTATGGCTGCAACTTGTCACTTTTGAGATATCTTCATCTTTAAATAATCCAATAATATGCCATGACCAAAGATTTCTAGTGCAAATTCATTTTTTCAATAATCTAAATTCCTTAACATATATATATATTTATATATATATATGAGCAAGAGTAAACCCGATGCAATTTTGTTCAATACTCAGCTGCAATCAGCATGTAAAGCAAAAAAAATAAGGAAGGGAGAAGGCAATTTTCAACAGCATGCACATTCATTTAACTCTACAAGATTTGCTGATTGCTTGAGACAAATCTTTGTGAAATTGAAAAAAAAATTTTAGGCTTTGGAACCTTTGGCTAGTGATGCCCAGAAGAAGACACTTGCTAAAGTAGATGAGTACCTTGGACAAATTGACGAATTCCAAGAGACTGTACGTTTTCGTTCTGTTGATATCACATCAACAGCTTCTCCGGAACTTGAGTACTTATTCCATAATCTTCCAGGTCAAGACTGAGGGTAAAGAATCTTTCGAGGCTAACAAGACCAAGTGGCAAGAAATGGTCACCAAGATCTTCGAGACCGGCGGTCTTCAAGATGTTATGAAGTTGCTTAATGTCAAATCAGCCGGCCAAGTAATTTAAAAATTATCTTACAAATTAACAATTTTCTCCTATTTTCAGTTCTCACTCGTAATTGCTGCATGCGTTCCAGTGATGATGGCTCTTCTCCGTTAATCTTGCTCTGATTTATTGCATCTTCTGTATTTACTTGTAATCAATAGTTTTGCCTCCTTTTATTAAAATTACTCATAATTCGTTCTATAATAAAGAATTTTCAAACTTGCACTCGACATTCAGACATCCGAGCCAGTCTCGTTATTTCCTCGCGCTTGATCAAAAACCCAAGTAGAGTAGGGTTCGTTCATTTCCCATTCTGAGCAGAATAGAGCGGTTGCACTCATCCCCATCTGTAGGAGACTGTCGCGTCTTACTTTGGATGAGTCACTCCAATAGAGAGGACATAAAAAAAACTTATACCATATTTATGGATAACAAGCAACAAAACATACAACAACATCGAAAAATATATATAAACATGAAGTGTCTACACAGTGATAGTACGACACCAACAAACAAGCCTAATTCGAAATACAAATGATATGAAAACTAATAATCTATAACAGAGCAATCAAATATTTGTGTAAATGAAGTTACCATTGAATTCAAAGCATCTTCAGGGTTAATATCTCGGGAGCACTCCTTAGATAGAGATGTTGTTTCTACTCCTTCAATACCACAGCCAATTATCTAAAATTGGTATCAAATGAAAAAAACACGAATTCGAATTTAAATTACATTATCAAACCACGTTAAATCTGTATTGCAATTCAATGCAAGGCCGTGATGCGTTACACCATGAGAAACATTAATTCCGATGGCAGCTAGTTTACGCATGCCATCTACCCAAACACCAGTATGTTCAGTTGTTCCAACATTCTCTATACCGAAGTCATTTCTGGCACTTGTGATAATAACCTATAGCGCGATGTGTTTTGTGGTGAAATCTAGAGGAACCTGTTCAATTGAGCTCACGAATGTTCGAACACCGTGTTTCTTGGGTGAAATAGCATGTAGGTTGAAGATGGGATAGAGTACCAGTTGGCCAGGTCCATGAAAAGTTATAAGACCCCCACGCGACGTTCTATACGCCTTTATTGATGAAAAATAAAAAAAGTAACCGTACCTGAAAAAGTCAGCACCAAGAGACTTCAGACGAAGTTCTTCCTCAATGGAGTATAACTTAGATCTAATACCAACGGTATATACAGGGAAATGTTCTAATGCTAATAAAAAGTTTCTAAACCACGAAATACAGAAAAATGAAGAATCAAAACTAGCTTACCTGCATTCGTTCTTGTTTTTGTGCGACTTGGCTATATTTAAGTAATGAGCTTGCTTTGTTAAACCTTCTTGATATGATATTCTACCTAACCTAACTAGTTCAAACGCATGTTTAGACGCCTGCATGATATAAAAAAACTATTTCCGTCTAGGAATAGGCGAGGAAACACTATAAAGTTTCTTTTCTCTAGTTCTGTAAAGGAGAAGTATAACTACATAGTTGACAAGCTTGGAGTTTACCTGGTGTACCACTCGTTTTTGTCAGTGTAGAAAATCTCTTTCAGATCCACGTTCTTAGGGGAATAGGAAGCCTGACGTTGTTGCTTGACAGTAGAACTCAAGATAGACTAGAACTACATGATGGGAAGGATTCAATACTGTTAGAACCTTTTCTTCGCTTCTGTCCTTCAAGGGTTTGAATTCAACTGGCCTGGAGTGCTCGTAAGGAAACTGAGCAGGTGGATGCCAAGAAGCAACTGTACCGTTAGCACAAACAACAACAGTTCTGAATATACTATAAATGAGAAAAAAACCTTTATAACTGACCTGGGCAAACTATTTTTGCTAGAAAACTGACGTAAAAAATTAAGTGCCGTACCACTCATAGTTTGGATGGCCAACCTCTCAACTCAGTGAATCAGCTTGCCTGAATCATTGAAACATTGTAAAACAAGAAAAACTGTAGTGTTTTTGAAAATGAGTTTGATACTCGAACTCTGGTAACTTGGTCTTGATACAAGCTTAGAAACCCTAATACATTCCAACCAGATCGCTTAAGGACTCTTGTAAACAGCACACAGCACAACCGTAAAAATAATATTACGTTGGCCACGTGTCGATTTAAAAGAGATATTCTAATATATGACTGTTTAAATTAGTATTAGACGATGACTGAATATGCAATATTGAAACTTTGAGAAATATCTTTGTTAGTTTTGTTAGTACAATAGCTTGGTTGAACTATTCCTACGTAATCAAAGTGTTTTCCTATCATATAATTGAATCGTACGTTTCACTCTATTCATGCTCATTTTCTCTAGAGTTTTTGCTTAAAATTTCAATGGTTTGTTCAGATGAATATGAAAGGAACTCCCATGTTCGTTCCTAGTATACCGGGTGTTAAAGGTTAAAAATTTAAATTGTCGTGATTGTGCCTAGTGACGTTTCTATATATTGTGTTGTGTTGATTTGCCTACCTCAGAAATTCGTTTACTTTTTTTTCAGTGACGAAGAAAATGAAGAGAGACAAGAAGGACGAGGAATCTAGCGGAAATCCTTTTGCAAACTTGGATAAAACTTCTGTTTTACAAGAAGCCCGTGCTTTCAACGAAACTCCCATTAACGCTAGGAAATGCAGTGTCATCCTTACCAGGCTCTTGTACATCATCCAACAAGGTAGTGGAGAATATATTGGTTATTGAGCATACTTGTTTCAGGAGAACAAATCGGAAGAACTGAAGCTACTGAGGCTTTCTTCGCTGTTACGAAGCTATGGCAAAGCAAAGATGCCAATCTTCGACGACTTGTCTATTTGGCTGTCAAGGATCTTTCAGGAATTGCTGACGATGTAATCATTGTAACCAGTAGTTTAACAAAGGTGAGAAATTTTGCATTCGATGTTCATTTAAAACTAATATAGGATATGACCGGGCGTGAGGATGTATACAGAGCTGCCGCCATCAGAGCTTTGTGTAAAATTACTGATACAGGAATGTTACAGACTATTGAAAGATACATGAAACAAGTATGATGATTATTATGCATCTCTTTCATCCATTTTTTTTAAGGCTATTGTTGACAAAAACGGAGCTGTTGCTTCTGCCGCTCTGGTATCATCAAATCATCTTATGGCAAAGAGTGCCGAAGTTGTTAGACGTTGGGCAAACGAAGTTCAAGAAGCCGTTTCCTCTGACAACCATATGGTTCAATACCATGCCCTCGGCCTGCTCTATCACATTCGCAGCAATGATCGTTTGGCTGTTAACAAGCTTGTACAAAAGTTCAGCAAATCCGGCTTAAGATCACCTTATGCTTTTTGTTACCTCATCCGCATTGCCGCTAAACTTTTGGAGGAAGATGACCAGTGAGTTAGATGAAAGCAACGTTTTTAATTTTATCTTTCTCTTAGAGCTGATTCTTCTCTGTTCTCATTCATTGAGACTTGTCTCCGACACAAGAGTGAGATGGTAGTTTATGAAGCCGCCAGCGCTATTGTCTCTCTTCCGAACACAACTTCGTGAGTTGATATACATTGATGGTAGTAATACAGAATTTCTTCAGTGCTGAACTTGCTCCTGCTATATCTGTACTTCAACTCTTCTCTTCTTCTGCCAAAGCCGCTCTCCGCTTTGCCGCAGTCAGAACTCTTAACAAGGTTTCAATCAAGCATCCTGATGCCGTTATGAGTTGCAACGTCGATTTGGAAAAACTCATAACTGATCCTAACAGGTAAAAAAATTTTCCCAGTTTTTCTGAGATGTAAAGTTCCAGATCTATTGCAACATTGGCGATTACGACTTTGTTGAAAACCGGGGCTGAAAGCAGCGTAGAAAGATTAATGAAGCAAATAAGCTCTTTCGTATCTGAAATTAGCGACGAATTCAAAATTGTTGTTGTTGACGCTATTAGATCACTGTGCGGCAGATATCCTCGTAAGCACGCTGTTATGATGCCATTCTTGGCTAACATGCTCAGGTAACTTTCTACTAAACTCTGTGGTTTAAACAGCGACATTCCCAGATCTGATGGAGGTTTTGACTATAAGAAAGCTATCGTTGAAACGATTATTGCTATCGTCGAAGAGAATCCTGACGCGAAGACTGTTGGACTCGCTCATCTTTGCGAGTTTATTGAGGATTGTGAACACGACAGTCTCTCGACAAGAGTATTGAATTTACTCGGAAGAGAAGCTCCAAAAACTGGCAATCCTTCAAGTTACATTCGCTTTATATATAACCGAGTCATCCTTGAAAGCACTAAGGTAATCTGGATTCTTCTAGCGGCTTATAGTTGTTTCCATAGGTTCGGGCTGCTGCTGTTACTGCCTTGGCTAAGTTTGGAGCTTTATGCCCTGACCTTCGTCCTTCGATTGAGGTTCTTTTAAGAAGATGTCTTTTGGATAGTGATGACGAGGTTAGTTTACTCTATCAAGGTTCCTATTACACAATCTCATTTTAAGGTCCGCGATCGTGCTACATTCTACTTGAGCTTGCTTCATATCGCTGATACCTCTGCTATCACGAACTTTGTTTTGGATACAATTCAAGTAATATTTTACAATCAGGAAAATGAAAAAGATAATCTCCCAGGTTTCTCCATCCGGCTTGGAGCGTTGTTTAGCTGACTATGTTCGTTCCGACGCGTTCACGACACCTTTCGATCTACGTGTTGTTCCTGTTGTAAGTCAGCCAATTACTCAAACAGAAAAGAGGGCTCCAGTTCTTGCCGATCCTATTGAAGTCAAGCCTAAAGCTCCAAAAGTTGAGGCTTATGCTGGTGAGCGCCACTCACTATCCTATGAAATTATCTTTTTTTTCTAGAAAAACTCGCTGCTATTCCTCAGTTCGCTCAGTTCGGACCCCTGTTCCGCTCATCAAATCCAGTTCCTCTTACAGACTCTCTCACAGAGTACACTGTTAACGCTATTAAGCACGTGTTTGCAAACCACATTGTTGTCCAAGTAGGATTTATATTTTTTTGGTAATATGAAGTATTTTTCTTTCAGTTCGACTGTCGAAATACCTTGGACGATCAATTATTGGTAGATGTTTCAGTCGAGCTAGAGGATTCCGAGAGAAATTGGGTTCCTATTTTGTCCATTCCAATAGAGAAATTGAACTACGGCAAAGAAACTCAACCAACTTATGTTGTTCTTCCATTCCCCGATTCAGGTTTATTAGTTAGTTTTGATCTATTTGATAACTTTCTTCTTCAGGACAAGTAACAGGAACTTTGGCCGCTACTTTGAAGTTCGAGGTGAAAGATGTTGATCCAGCTACAGGAGAACCAGAATCTGATGACACTTATGAAGATGCTTACGGGGTTGGAATTCCATTCTCATTCTTTTCTTTATTTTTTGTTTTCAGCTCGAAGAATTGGACATAGTTATCGGAGATTCCATTCAACCTGTCGCGAAACAAAATTTCGCTGCTTCTTGGGAAGCTTTAGAAGATGTTAAACAATTTGAGGAATCTTTCCATTTAACAAACGTTTCAACTCTTCCTGATGCATTCAAACAAGTATTTTGAAAATTCACTTTTTTTTTAAAACATTTTCACAAAGGTTTCCGACCAATTAGGATTAGTCGCCTCTGAAAGAAGTGATCGTGTCCCCGAAGGAAAAACCAAGCATGTCGCGAACTATTCTGGAGTTTTCCGTGGTGGAATTGAAGTTAGAAAATCCCAATTGGATCACAGTAATTACTCTTCTTGTAGGTGTTGGCTAGAGTTCTCGTTGCTATGGATCCTTCAGATAACAGCATAAACATGAAAATTATCGTGAGGTGAGTCAACGGTTTTTTTGATTGTTTTTCTCTTAGTAGGGTTGTATTTCCCTTTGTTTCATCGAAATAGATGTACGCCCACAAGCGTGTTTGATTAGCCGCTAGACTTAAGTTCGCTAAATTTTTATTTTCAGATCTGAGGAGCCGATCGTAGCTGAACTCGTAGCTTCAGCCATTGCATAAAAGTTTCTGTTTTATTCAGTATAGTGATGGATTTTCTACTGTGATGGTACACAACATTTAAGTTATTTCTAAACCATAAGTTTTATATTAATAAATTATTGACCTGAAATTTGATGTTGTCTTATCGGTTTGACTCGTGTATATTTAGTTTTGTAACTCATGCTCTCATATATGAATGTTTTAGTAAAGAATGTGGTGGTTACTACTCGTGTTGATTTTTCCTAATTTCGTTTCTTCGAACACAGAATGTTTATGGGCTGCTGGTCGTATTGTATGTAATCGTGATCAGGCCTTAGTCAAAGATACTGTTATTGAGATATGGGACAAAGATGGTCCTGAAAAGGTTTCCAGCAAAGCTTTATGTCTCTTTTTCAAATAGGAACTTATAGATTGGTGCTGTGGATATCCTTGATCCTGATGATATGGCCGGTTTGTCTGTGGTTGACAATGAAGATGGGCTCTTCAGGGTAGAAGGTTTGCATTCCTTCTGAACCGTTACGAGATATTCAATTACAGGCTGTGCTTCGGATATTGACTGGTTGGGGCCTTTTCATCGCAATCGACCCGAGTTTTATTTGAAAATTAGACATCGTTGTCTTTCTCCCGAGTTTGTTTGGAATGAGTCAGTCTCACACTCAACTGTTTTCCATTTCAGTTTCACCGAAATGACTGTAAAGCCACCAGTGAATACATATGCTCCCGTCACCATGGATTACTTCATTGATCATCCCATAGTTCTTGACCCATAAGGCAGGTAATGATCGTCCACAATCAGTCTTCTTTGTCATTTTTCAAGTTTCCATTGTGTGCTTGCTGTGATAACCGTATGTTTTCAATTTTTGTTAAAGTTCCTATTTGTACATACCAACCCTTGTTGTTTCAATTTTCATTCAGTAATAATTGTGTAACCGTTGCGTTTTGAATAAGCATGAATACTTACTAGAGCTTCCTTTTTTTTTTCGAAGAATTGTTTGTATAAATGGTAGTCCTTGCGAATGTCGTTTAATGCTGTATCGGGTTCCAGTTCCCGTCATCTGTAGATGGTATTGATTACCCTCAGCATATTCTAATTCATTCCGCTATGAAAACATACCGTTTGTTTACTCATTCTGCCACTCATAGAAGCATGAGCATCTTTTCCGAGAAAATGTCCATTTGGATTGATTCCCAGGTTGGAAAAATGACATTGAGATTTCTTGAATTTCCTTTCGCACATGCAGGTGATTCATTCATGTTCCAGTTAGTTGATCATGTTTATTTAGTTTGTAAAGCCGTATCCGTCCTTAGTTTCATGCACTTTGTTCCTTTTAGCTTCACATAGCAATCGTCTTTATTCCTTACCTCAACTTTATCCATTATAGTCGTTTAGTCAGCTATGAGGAAGTGTCTACTTTTATGTGTTTTCTTTGCTGTAGCCTATGCCGGACATGAGTGTGTTTGGATTATCGGCAAAGTAGACTGCGAAAACGATCCCTCTAAGAATTTAAATGTCGAGGTTAGCTGGTTTCACCTTTGTCTGACCAACCATTCCGCTGACGTGTAATAACACGTCGATCAGTTTTTGATGCACTAGATAAGAGTTCACGAATAATAAGGTATCATTTTTTGTTTCAGATACGTGTTTATGATCGGGATGGAGTAGGTCCTTTTCGTCTTATTGATCCAGATGATTTAATGGGGTGAGTAATAGTTCTGTAATGAAAAAAACAAAAGCTCCTCTTTATGCGTCAGATAAAGATTTGAAAAGAGAACAACCGTTCCACATGCATGTAAACTAGAAAATGAAAACATATTATGCTGCAGTTGATTGATATGATAATGAGCTAATGTTTTGCAGAGTAACGTTTTCTAATGAGGACGGCAGTTTTCAATTAGATGGATGTGGGGATGATTACGATTGGATTCCTGGAGTTAAAAATGTTCCCGAACCTTATATGGAGGTATTTATAGCATTACTGAAGTTTAATAATTGTTCTGCGAGTACAGATTCGTCATTACTGTAACAATCCTGAAGGCGAGACTATAACTCTTCCTGAATTCAGCAAGTTTGTTCCCGAAACCTATGAAATTGGTACCGTTGTACTCGATCGAAAATCATATAACAGAGCTGCCAGAAACAACAACTAAATTGTCATTGTAATTTCATTAACTTCTTATTGGTTCTAATGCATATATATATGGAATGCTTGCCCGTTTTATTTATCTTTTGAATCGAATTTTCTGATGCTTATAATTTTGAATATACGTGGGTGTTTGTATGAATAAAGCTTATAATTGTAATTATTTTCATTTTCTAATCATTGGTTTGAGCCAAGTTACCAATACATTCCTTCGGTAATTACACGGTAGTCTAGGCAGCCGTCTGCGTCAAGATCTCTAAAATCTCAAGGTGTTTCTATTTTGGTTTTTTTCCCCAAATGCTTCATGAATGTTGGTCAAGTTCTGCCATCTTCATACCCGAACTTTGTACTTTTATTTTTGAAGATTTAATCGTATAGTCTAAAATGCATTTGTTGATGTTTTCTGTCAGCTAACGGCTATCAGCATCCATACTGATAGGGAAGTATATTTTCATTTTTCGTCGTCTGACATTATTTTCCGACCGTTTGCCACCAATACGCCGTGTACTTCACTCAATCAAAGCTCTTTTCTGAGCGTTTTATAAAAATCTATCCTTAAAAGTTCGTCAATGTGACGATGAGACCGAAAACTTCGCTCCCGCACAGTCTGGAAAACTGGCGAAGTGATTAGAGTGTTCTAGAGCTTTTAAGTAGAGCGAAGATTAGATTCGATCTAAATTGATTATGTGGATAGTCAAGGAAAAACTAATTCACAAGTGCTGTTCAGTTCGATATATATTTAGTTTCGCCATGCTTTATGTCCTATTATTGTGCCCTGGAGGAACTAATTTCATTTTGAAAAAGTTTTAATTCAAGTATTCCAGGTACGCAACTAAACAACTTGCTTCTTCCGAATCTACATTTTTTGGTTAGCCGCTAGTGATTTTTCCATCGACAAAATAGATAGAGCGAAAGCGTGTCGCGTGTGGAAGTTGCTTCTGTAAGTGGTTCTGATGTTGCTGATGGTTTTTGTGAAGATTAAGAGAAAGGGATAGGGAGACGCGAGAACGAGACGTCATTCCTTGAGACTTTCTCCTCTTCACCCCTTTCCTCTCTTATTCCCACCTGTGCCTATTTTGTCATTTCCTATCCCCATATTCTCTATTATCACCCCTCTCTACATTTGATAAACCCTCTCTTTGAGTTTCATACTATCAACGCATCATCTTTTCACTAACATGCTATTAGATTGTCTGGTCTGCTTTGTCTTCGTCATTTTAGCAACGTCCCACCCCCTCAACGTTTTGCTTCTGGACATAAGGTTTCAGCTGCTTCAGTAGCGATCTCTTGGGCAGTTCAATATGATCTTGCTCAGTCTTTCTTCTTTGTTTTCTAGCAGTTCTTCAATCTTTCATCTGAATACATTTCAGCCATGGACGTTTTAGCTGGCGAACCTATCCGAACCAATGACAGTTCTTCGATTCCTGTTGAAGAGATCCCAAGGAAGAAGTTTAAACTATCATCGGTAAGTCTCACCTTTGCCTGCCGATGACCACGTCGTCCTCTATATCACCAACATCTCTCATTCATATAACTTGGTTATTGATATATTATTACATTTTGCATTTGTTTTGAAAATCATTTCACTGTTGCTTCAATTGGGATCAATTGCTCTAATGCAACTCTAGTTTTCTAAATCTAAACATGGGATTATCCACCAGAATGCAAGAGAGGGCGGGTTTACCTTTCACTATTTGAAATCATCAATCATACCTCGAATAACACCCATCTCATTTTACTTTAAAAACTCTTCACATTCATCACACTTTTCAAACATGGACATAGTTCAAAACGAACTATTCCATTCTCTTCATTCTCAAAAGCTTAGAACAACTGTAGTGAGTACAGCAGTGTTAAAGAGTAATAGAAAGTCTCTTATACGCAATATTACAGAGCTTCGAAACTGGAGCCACCAATGTCACTTTCCAAGAACATTCCACTGGAAGGAAGGAACGATCAGCTATCCTAGGAAAGTATCCAGGGTTCCGAGGATGCACTTTATGGTTCACCGGGCTGTCTGGTGCTGGAAAAACCACTGTAGCTTTTGCTTTAGAAAAAGCTTTAACTCAAGTGAGTCAGAGTTGATTTATTCTTTGTATACTATCCGGAAATGTGCACATTGCTTCATCAAATTCTCCAGATGGGAATACCTTGTTATGGTCTGGACGGCGATAACATCCGTCACGGACTTTGTAAAAACTTGGGATTTTCCAAAGACGAGAGAAGCGAGAACATCCGAAGGTAATGTTGCTTTATTCATCATTTGCATCGATTTTTCATTCAGAGTTGCGGAAGTTGCCAAACTTTTTGCTGATATGGGTATTGTATGTTTAGCATCATTCATTTCTCCTTTCAAGTCTGACCGTGATATCGCAAGAGAGATCCATGCCTCGGTTGGTTATTTATTATAAATATCCAGTTCTAGATTCTTATTAGATTGATGTCTCACATAAACTGATTTTTTTAGGAAAATCTTCGTTTCTTCGAAGTCCATATGGCAACAAGTCTCGAAATTTGTGAATCGCGTGATCCAAAAAGTATTTTGAATGTTAATTATCTTCAATATTTTGATTTTCATAGAATTATACAAGAAGGCACGTGCAGGAGAAATTAGAGGGTTTACTGGCATCGATAGTGCATATGAACCACCAGAGGGAGCTGAATTGGTTTGAATTTTGAACGAAAGTAAATATGCTCATCATGAATATTCCCAGGTTCTCGATGCTGGTAAGCAAACTGTCAACGACTGCCTCAAGCAAGCTCTGCAATATTTAACAGACGAAGGCATCCTTCCACCAGAGGTAAGTAATCAAATTTTTAATTCAATATGGCATTTTTTTCAGGCAATGAAAGAATTCAACAAACCTGTTGTTCGATCATTGATTGTCAACGATACCGAGAAAGTTGTTCTATCAGAAAAAGCGTCTACTTATCCTCAAGTTTCTTTAACCAAAGTCGATCATCAATGGCTTCAGGTTATCTCCTCGCACAGTTTTCCATTGCTGATCTTTTTTGTTTCAGGTTCTCTCAGAGGGATGGGCCACACCTTTATCCGGGTTCATGCGAGAGCGTCAATACTTACAATCTCTTCATTTTGGAGAACTCCTTGATCTCAAGCATAAAACTGTTTTCCCTGGAGATGAAGTAGAAAGAAAAATCGAAGTATTTTTTTAAAATATCGTTCTGTTTCAGGATCTTGGAGCAGTTGATTCTTATCCTTTATCGGAGCCTGTGAACCAGAGCATTCCAATTGTTCTTCCAGTTAGTGAAGAAACCAAAAATTCCTTAACCCTTGCTGGTTAGTTTATCTCTTGCTTCAACTTTCTACGTTTTAATTCAGATGGCAGTGTTGCTCGTGGAATTTCCTTAACATATGAAGGCAAAATCGTTGCTGTCATCGAAGACGGAGAAGTCTTTGAGCATCGCAAAGAAGAGAGAGTTGCTCGTCAATTCGGAACTGTTGATCGTCGTCACCCAACGGTTGATTTAATCATGTCTTCAGGAGATTTCTGTCTCGGTGGAGATTTGAAGGTTTCAATTAGTTTTAGAAATGTGGTCATTAGTTTCTCACAGGTTCTTGAGCGAGTCCAATGGAATGATGGTTTAGACAAATTCCGAAAAACGCCAGAAGAGATCAGAGCGATATTCCAAGAGAAAGGAGCTGATGCAGTTTTTGTTTTCCAGTTGAGAAATCCAATTCACAACGGACACGCTTTATTGATGAGGGATACAAGAGAAAAATTGCTGAAAAAGTACAAAAATCCGATGTTGCTTCTTCATCCACTAGGTTAGCAGAGACTGATCGGAAAAAATCATTTATTATCTCAATTCTGCAGGAGGATGGACGAAAGATGATGATGTTCCTCTACCAGTTCGTATCAAACAGCATGAGGCTGTCATAAATGAAGGAGTACTAGACTCTTCGTGGACAGTTTTATCCATATTCCCATCGCCTATGTTGTATGCTGGACCAACTGAAGTACAATGGCATGCACGGTGAGGAGGCTGAGACGAAGAGTATTGAGTGAAAATAACTTTCAGAGCTCGAATCGCCGCTGGAGTCCAGACTTACATCGTAGGTAGAGACCCTGCCGGTATCCAACATCCAGAGCATGGAGGATATCTGTACGAACCCACACATGGAGCTAAGGTAGTTTAATTGTCTGATATTTTGTTGGAACCAAAAGATCAGCGTCTGCAATACCAGACATCAAAACCTGTTTCAGGTTCTCTCAATGGCTCCCGGGTTATCGAAATTAGACATTATTCCTTTCCGTGTTGCTGCTTATGATAAAACAGTTGGAACAATGGCTTTTCTAGATAATAAAAGGTCACAGGATTTCGAGTTTATCTCAGGAACGAAAATGCGAGGACTAGCCAGGTCAGACTTTCCCACGATCTTTTAAAGATACTGTGATCTTCAGATCGGGAGAAAATCCACCAGATGGTTTCATGGCCCCAACAGCGTGGAAAGTTTTAGCAGACTATTATAAATCTATTAATAAGAGTAATTAACATCATATTGACTGAATTAATTTAATGTATTACGTGCATAAGGGTCTAACCAAAGGTTCTATGAAATTATTGGAATTTTCAATCCCCCCCCCCATATTCTCATAAAGTTCTAATGAAATTAACTTATATATACATATTTATATTCAAATACTCGCTTTTTAATGTATCATATTCATATTTTGAAGCTTGTTACCTATTTTAAGGATGTCTTCAAATAAATCATACTTTGAAACCATACTTCGCCCAGTAAGCTATCTGCAAACTAGTTCGATTAGAGAAGTTGCCAACATTGCTAACATTGAACAAGCTGAAAGCTGCGGGGAAAGTAATCCTGGCTATGGAATCCACATAATTCACAACTGGTCTCGATTTTTTCTAAATCGTCTATTAATTAAGAGAATACTCCCACGCCGAACTTCATCCTTTTCATAATATCCCACTATCGCCAATTCCAATAGAGATAAGAAGACAAAGGTCATTGAGCTCAACATCCAGACATCTAGATCACGGTGTTCTTCATGAATCCCGTTTCACGCAAACCTATCGCTTTGACATATGAAGCACGGGGGAAGCTTCTCATAATAGAACCAAAATGAAAAATCATGGAGAGTAAAGCATTCACACCAATCATTGTTCGAGGAGCAATCGTTTGTGGACCCAAAGAGAATGCAACCCAGCTGAGATAATTGTCGGTGAGAATCTTTTATTAGCTTACCTTATGAAAATTGAGAAGTAGGTAGGAAGATAAGCTTGTAACAAGTACCACATGTACTGACGTTCAAACGTGAAAGTTACGACCAATTCGTCCCACATCCCAGCCGGATATTCCTTCAAAAAGTTCATTGTGTATCTTCTCCTATTATTGCAATGATCACCCTTTGCACTACTGTGGGGATCACATCTCTCAATTTGAAATTAGGAAGCTTTGCTTCAGTCAGGGAAAAAACAGCATTTCTTCTGGTGTTCCATCTCATTCGAACCTCAGCATTGTTATATGAAAAACTATTCAAAGGTATTTGACTCATTTCGGATTACCTTTGATACTTTAATCTACAAGTCTGAACATCCATTGGAAAATCTGCAAGATTCATAGAACATGGTCCTCGAACTCGTACTCTCTGAATCTTCAAGTTTTTAATAATCTTTCTTAATAGTCACAATCTTCACAGGAGAAGATACGTTAATGAAACTAGCTTATCGTCATGAGATTAGCCCGTTCAATGGTCAACAAACTAATCTAGTAGATAATCTCGCTTGGACAATCTGATATCAGCGCTCAATGAACATTTAGTTTTATGCAAAGGAAGTTTCTTTCTCCACATTAGGAAACATGAATCCGTAAGAAAACGCTGATACAAGCAATGCCGAACGGGGAACTGTATCAAAGCGATCAATCAGCTTAAACTTACATAATTCACCCAAACAGTTCCATTCGAGTACAAAGTAAGATAAACATTTATGAAAGGAGATTCATGTATTTCGGCCAGTTTAGAGTTTACAAAGCAAGTATTCGGAGTCCAGAATCTAGAGATGATCTTTAAAATTCATTACTTGTCTTATTCACCTCTGTAGAGTAGATTGATCTAAGCTTAAGTTTGTCTTGCAGGGATTTAGATGGGCAAAGTACAATTTCGGATCCATCCAAATTTCATTTATATACATTTCTAGTTCGAAATCATTCGTCAGTTCATCAATGGATGTGAACTCTTGAATCCAGAACTCTACTCGAACAGTGACGCCGTTTCTATCTTCAAGAAAGCATAAACAAAATTATTCTTAAATACTTACAAGGTATTCTGTGCTTGTTATACATGGAAGAGTTAACCAACTTTTCGATTATAGCTTTTTCAGATAAACAGTTTTCAGTCGAGCAGTTCATTATTCTAACGAAGAAACAGAAAAAAGTAGTTAACTTCCAGAACAACTTGGGCAGCATTTCAGAGTATGCAAGATTGCGGAAAGCTCAAGGTTGACATCATGCAGAGCTCCATAATAGAGGGTGGTCATTGAATTTTAGGACGCAACACCTTCGACGAATCAAGAAGCACTGTTTTCATGAGTTTCGAGAAGTGTGAGAAGCACTGCTTTTCTCTTTGAATATTATATTAATTTCATCCGGAAGTTCGTTTCTGAACGATATTGGCTTCAGATAGGCTGAGGACTATTTGGCTTAGGTTAGTCTTAGAATGATCTAACAGGTGACTACCGCTGACGCAGAACTGAATAACTATTAATGTAAGAAGAAGTCTTCTATTTAAAAATGTTTCCCTCTAAGCGTTTTTTTTTTAAAATACCATTGCTCATGTTTGATCAAAACCGCTCTCATACGGGATCAGTTACCACCTTCGATGTGTGCTTCAGCTTCATCGTGATTGTATACATAGAATGATTTAACGTTGGAGTGATGATCACTCAATACTTTATTGCAAGAAGCACTGATGATCATATACGCCTTCCGACATTGATAGCTCTGTGTTCATCAGGTATAAACGCATTAAAGACGACCACGCAGTTTTGATTTGGTACGGTCTGGTAATAAGCTCTGGTAACCAGGTCAAGCATCAACCTGTCTGAGTTCTTTATAGGTATGTATGAAACTCGTTAGTTAATAAACAAAGCATTTATTATCTTACAATTACATATTATTTTAAATATTAAATACAGTAATAAATAGCAATATGAAAGCAATCAAACCTTGACTGAGTGAAGATGATGTCTTTGAACGACCTATTGGTCTGGATGAAGAAGGCCTAGAAGTTGTTGTTGTTGTTGTTGTCGTTGTTTCACTTTCGAATAAGCCAATAACTAATCCGCCCTGTAATTCTTGAGGTAAAACAGTTTTCTTATAAATTGCTAAACCTGTCCATTTCCAAAACCACTATCTGCTGGATTTCCGGGAACGCAATTGACTGTGTCTCCTATCTCAAGCGTGTACATTCCTTCATCACAAACACATGAAGTTCCATTACAGTGTGAATCAAGAAGACATTCTTGTCCGTGAGTGCAATCTCCTCCAGGGTATGCTACTCTGTCTTCGCTCAATAATCGGCTGGATGTATCGGAAGTACTACGAGGACTGGGTATCTCATCTCTTAAATACATGCTTTAAAGTTCTCACAGTATGTCGGTTCTCACTGTTGGAAAGGTGTTCCTTCTCCGTCCCATCCGTTGTATACTTGGTCAATTTCATTTTGATTTTGTAACCAATTGATCAATGGTTCATAATACTCCAATAATGGTGTGACATCCAATTCGGCTAGAACATAACCCACATGAATCAAACTGTCCAGATATCTCCAAACCTTTTCCAGTGATTGTCTCCAAAATTTCTAACCAATCTTCAGAAGATCCCTTCTTCATTGCGTTGATCAACTTCTCAGTTGTATCTTCGGACAGAACACATCCTTCGCTCTGTAAGTGAATCGGTCATGAACGTAGAGTGACATGACTTTACCAATGGGACACCTTGAGGGCAGACAGCCTTCAAAATTTGGAACTGAACGACGTAGGTAATAACATCTCTTAATGCTGGAGTTTGTTTCTGAAACTGCTATTGTGAGAAAGAGAAATGTTTTACATTTCCACCTGAGAAATCATAGTGTATATTAAAGCGTCAACGTTTGATGAGTTGTAAGGTTGAGGAGAGCGAATTCCATCGAATTCTTTTCTCAACTCCCACCATCTATCGTTCAGCTTGGCTGAAGTTAATTCACCCTCGAAAATCTCATATCTCCAAAGATCGGCAGCTAATTGAAGTGGGATCTTGGCTACATTATCAAGTGCTTCCCTATAGAATTGATGTTAAACAGAACCGAAACAGACGGGACTTACTTATAAAGCCTATTAATTACGACAGAATCACGAATGTTTAAATGGTCTGCTGGAACGAGTTTTTGAGCATAAAGATAATGAGGGTTGAGAGATAAATGAGAGAATACATTTCCAATTGCTTCGTTGATCGAAGATGACGATGGTTCGCTGAAGAAGGACTATAATCAGTTTGAAATTTGGAAGAACATACCGGAAGAGAAGTGGTTGATCCTTGTAAAGATATTGGTAATAGACATTGGCCATCAAAGAATGAGCAAGCTTGAAGTCTGTTTCTCCTACCTGAGCACAAGCTTTGACTCTGCAATTTTTCATTAGTTCAAGTGCTTACTAATGAATGAAACCTGAAATCTTTTCCATCTCTCATGTCAATAGCTGCTGGAGGGTTACAGATCATATCCTTGCTCCAAACACGAACAAAAACAGAGTTTGTCCAGAAGGATTTTGGAAGTGATGGGAATCCGATGGCTTTGAAATATCGGTAAGCCTTGTAACATGAGTTGAGAAAGAAAACATATGAGTTTTTGATACCTTCGTGAAGAGTTCTTTCGCTGTGGTGTTTTGACTTTGGAAAGTTGTTTGCATATCTTCGGCGATTTGATCATTTTCATCAAATGGTTTTGTCTGCTCGTAATGACTACCCCAGTCTCCTTCCAATGATCCGAGCAAATGTGCTGGGATCATGGAATCTTTGCTGATATCTAAGGCTTCCTTGTAAATTCCAGCCAACTGACGACGTACGTAAGCATGGAGCTAAATGACAGTATTGAGTGTTTTGTACGGATTGGAACTTGTTTACCTGTTGGTAGAATGGGAGAATCTTAGTTTGAATCTGCTTGATAGCATCTTTAACCATGAACTTAGATTCCTTTGCATTGGAACTTTCAAGGGCTTTATTCCACATAGCAGCTCCATTCTTCAAGTTGTTAATCTCAGCTCCTGAAAGCCACAGTCTCAAATGATTAATGATAAAAAGAGCAAAGAGCTGTCACTTGTAAGGTATATAACCACAGAAGCATTGAATGAACTTTGAAAAAGAACCTTTGTTGGTCAATTCAACCAATTTCAAATAGTTTTGCTTTGCTGGCTCGAGAGATTTGGCATAGTTCAAGAAGAGAACTGAAAGACGGGTAGCATTTTGTTCTTGTTGGTAGATGCTTTCCAAATCAACACGTCTACAAGGAACGCAATCATTATGGCTTTCCAATAATAAGTAACCTGAGAGCACAGGGAGGATCGAAGTCGGCATCACAAATAGGGGCTTCGAAGAAGATTTGGTTAATCTGAAATGAAGATTTCCAAAAGAAGGCTTGAGCTTACATACCTTCCTGGATGCATGAGTAAGAGCTTCAGAATCACTGACAGACAAAGCTGATAATCCTTCGAAAGCAATACTCTCGATTTGTTTTTTAGTAGAGTTGTTTTCCACCGATGAAAGTTTCAACTGTTTAGCTTGCTTGGACGTACTCTTAACGAACTCTGAGAGAACCTGCAAATGATATTCAGCATCAAGAAACAAATATGATCAAAAACATTTTCAGCCTCGTCCAATGATGCTTTAGCTGAAGGAGAGGCATTAGTGACGTATGTCCAACTAGCTTTGGCGATTTCTCGTAAGATCTGAATCGTTTCAAACGTTTAAAAGACTCTAGAAAAGTTTTACCTGTTTAGCTTCTTTCTGGTATCCTTCAAGCCATGAAACTATTTCTTCTTCATCAGAAACCACATCTTCATCCTAACATTGTCATGAGAATGATTAATTGGAGAGTTTCAAGAGTTACCAGTTGTTTGTCAATATCCCAATAAGAACTAGAATTGACCAATGCAAAAACAGCTGGGTTAGCATGTATTGTCTTATTAGATTTAGGATTCTATAAAGAGAGACATATGATTAATGAAACAGAACAATAGAAATATGAGAACACACCTGTAAAGATCCTGTATTTAAAAATTTATTAACAAGCTCTTCTATAATTTCATCGTTGACAGCATCTGGTACTGCTCCAACCTTACAAAATATAGAATGTTAAGACAAATTATAATATAGATAATCGAATACATTAGCATCATTGATATCACCGTAATCTTCAGACTCAATATTATCAAACTTGATAGCTGGTTCTGGCTCTTCTGTATTACAACTAACTAATATTATATTGAAGAATAGTAGAGTATATATGAAGCCCCTCATTACCTATAATATGAAAAAACAAAATAATATGTAAATGAGTTTAAAAATAATTAAATAGAAAAAGTTAGCGGCTGTTTCATTACGAACAGAAACATTTTCTTAGAATCTGAAATCATGACGCACAATCAAATGGGGTCACTCTTGTGTATTCATTTCTTTTTAGGGCATTCAAAGAAGATTTCGCGTTTTCTATCCAATAACAGGATATCTTGTCCTTGACGTTCATGATTAGTTGAACACATTCACTACTGATCCCATTTTGACATATATGATGCATTGAATATGTTGAGAACTATCTTTCATTTCCACCTCTCTTTTAACAAATTATCTCTTACTCACTCTCTTCATCAAGAAAATCTCTTTCTCTCAACATCTCTTACTATCTAGAGATACAATATGTATTAAAGAAGTTATCTCACTCTCTTTCTCTCTACAAATTATCTCCCCCCCCCCTATTTCCTCTCACTGTCTTTTTTAACAAATTTCATTCATACTCCCGCTACCTGAGATCTTGTCACTACCTCTCTCCTTCTCTTCTATCTGTATCTCATGTCTCTACAGATCATCCAACCTCTCATGTACACTCCCTTTTTGGGATAATTCATCTTTAAAATATATCAAAGTTATTCTGTAATTTATCAAGAATAACAAACTCCGCATGTCCCGGAACGACTTTTATCTCAAAAACCTTGAACTTTATGCGGAAAACCATGAAATTTTTCACAATTTTACGAACATTTGTAACATTTAACTCACTTTTCATCATATTATCTCACCCAACGTGAAGGACGTAACTGCCATTGAGGAGAAGAGAAGAAAATCTTTTTTGATTACTGGCCTCAATACGAGATTAGGTCGTGGACGGTCTCCTTTACAGTTGATGTCACTTTGTAAAAACAGTTTAAGTCCTAATAAAGGAGAAACCAGTCTTATGATACGGCATTACTTCCTCAATCCTTGCAAAACGTTTTATGCGGAAAAAACATTCGATTCGAACTTTTTTTATAAATTCGTTTCCTTTCTCAAAGATGTGAGATTGTACCAATGAAACCATTTGAAGGGAATATACTTGTATATATCTGAACTCCGTCTCCTCACTATAAGCTTCTTTACCTCGATCACTTTTCTTTCCTAGAGATTTTTGCTTATAAGGAAATGCATATCTGAGTTTCTGTACGAAAAGCTGTTCTCAGATTACTCATACCCAAACCATCCCAAAACAACTTTATCTGTTCAAAAAAATATATTTATTCAGGTGGAGTTTGAGATATGTAATGAGATACGTCAAGTTCCACTCTGACTGAAGCTCAAGAAGTATAATTACGACATTTTACAAGATTTAAGTTTCTGGAAGGCTCATAAGATGAAGGTCAAATGTAAGATGAGAGTTAATCCTTTGTCTGTATCATTTTCGCACTCGGTGATACCAATGAGATCGTTGGAATATCTCACGTGTTTATTTTCATCTGGAATATGTTTAAACCCGACCGGTGAGTTATGACGTAAAATTGAAAATGAAAACACGAGTGCGTGTGTTCACGTTGAACTTTTCACGTAGTTAGCGTAGGGCCAAGAACGACCGGTATATCTTGACGGGAAATTGGAAAATGAAAACGTCATCGGGCGTTCATTTCTAGCCTTTCCGGTAGTTAGCGGTCAGGAGACTAAAGGCACAACCGGTGTACTTGAAGATGCAAGATGAAAATGAAAGATGCGTCTAACGTTGAGTGTTAACATGACTTTCACATCAATTGAACTGAAGATACAAGAAAATGAATATACATACATATGTATATGTTTATTGATTTGTAATCAACCCTTCGTACAATCATCAATATAAATTTTTCCTATTAAAATACAATATTCATAGATATGCGAAGTTTCAAAATAAATAATTTTTGAGAGATAAAGTTGATACCCGCTTTCTAAATTAACAGTAGAATATCTAAGCATCATCATCGTTTTATTAATGGTTGGCTTTCCTGTATTTGCGATCTGTTGCAATTGGAAAATAAGCGATGGGATTCATTTTCTGGGAGATTCTTGGCCTATAAAATATTGAAAAATAACAAACACATAGATATATATGATTGAAATTTCAAAAATAAAAAAAAATTGCTTCCAAACAGAAGAAATAAAAAAAAAGATCGAAAAAAGGACAAATAATAACTGGATTATGAACATATAAAGCACACGGAACTAGGTTATTCAATTAAGTTTACCTGAAGAGCATAGGAAGTTGGGTTGACTCCACTTCTCGAACGCGTTCGAATGCTAAAACACAACAGAAAGCATGCAGCTTATACCAATTATGCGTAATATTAGTTATTAATAACAAATCTAAGTTAGAATCTCTTTCGACGTCAAAAAATAAGATAGAAAAGAAAGTAGAGTTGAAGTATTCGTGAGACATCTTCAACAGTCACAACACAATTACAAGTACATTCACACTTTCATCTTCTACTACATCGTCTTCTACTTCTTCTTCTATATTCATCGTTAGATACAAAACTTTTTTTTTATGTGTATGTCCCATTCATATTTAGTTTTCATTAACATCAACTAACCTTTTTGCCTGATCGGATAATAATTGGAATTCTGTAAAGTGCACAAAAGGTAGGAATCGAGAAAAATAACAGAATCCTTCACGAAAACGAGCATTTCTTAAGTAATAAACAATAGGATTGACAATGGAGTGTAGCATTGCCAGTCCATGAGCAAACCACCTATAAAAATGTTATTTTCTTTAATTAATTATATGCAAATCTAACCAAGCATACAGAATATATGGCCAACTAGCTACAGCTTCCCAATAAACGACTATTATGTTTATAAGTAATAGAAGTGGAAGCCAACAAAGGGCAAACAAAGCTGAGATAAGTATTACCATAGGAATAAGCTGAAACAATAACGATTAGATTATTGATGTGATAATACTTCAACAATAACCTTTTTGACACTCTCATGACGTTCCATAACAATCTTCTTGCTGGAGATGCTTGTTGGTATTCGGCTATTCCACATTTTCATTCCAATAAACGTATACGTTATGATCAGTACTGTTTGTGGCACAACATATTGAAGAATCAGAACAGCTGTGTTATAATACGATTGATACTGAAAGGTGTTGCTGTTAGATGCACATACGTACGCACAAAGCAAAAAAACCTTCTCTGCATTATTTGTGAATATGGTCCAATCTTCATCACACATAATTACATCATTCCTAGGTTGTGATCGAGTTACAAAAAGTAAAGGTAAAGCCATTACGGTACTGAACAATAATAATTTTGTTTGAAAACCAAAGATTATAGAAAATACCTGAAAAACCAAGTGGCCAGGACGAGATAAACGGCTCGCGATCGAGTTAATCTCATTCTTGGAGATAAAACGAACATGATTGCCATCCAACGGTCAAAACTGAACAAAACATTTTAAATATTCATAAGAGAAGATGGCTTTTGAAAAAAAAGACTCTTCGAGTCATATATTCTCTCTCAAGCATGTTCACTTCTGGTTGAAGCAAACAGCATTTCCTTCCTTCAAATGAGAAGTTCGTTACTTCTTTACATGGAGAAAAACATAAAGATTAGAGGAGGAGGAATGGAATTGTGCTTTCTATTGTTTGCTCTTTCAATTCACCACCTTATGACAACTAAAGTCCAGGACGATAGAAAGACGGCTACTCCTTGCAGGAAAGACAGAAGAGAACACATTGCTGGACCAAATATCCATCGTTGATCATCAAATATGAGAACTGCCCAATATGAGAATGGCATGCAGAAAACAGCTATTAATAAATCAGCTGGAGAATAGATAAATAAAAGTAAAAAAAAATAAAATTATAATCAAACCGATAGCCAAATTGAGAATAAGAATATTAGTGGCAGTTCGTAATCGTCGAAAGTATAAGATAACGAGGATCACTAGTGAATTTCCATATACAGAACAGACACATAGTAGACAATAAAAACAAATACAAATAGCCTTAAATGGATATATTAATGTAATGCTTCTGATTAGAAGATGTAATGAGAGATGTAATCAGTATGTAAGATGAAGACTTACTTTCGCCAAAGTACTCAGATGTACTAATGATGGTATCGGATAGATTTCGATTGTCGTTGGCTCGTTCACGACAGGCGACGTTCGATTCATGTCGTCTGCAAGCATGTTATAACAATACAAATCATATGAGGATGTGGTTTTGAAGAAACGAAACGGAAATCTTTAAGAATAAGGTATCGTTTACTCACAAAAGTCTTCTGTTCTTTTGTTTTTCCTCAATTTCGGTTAGCAGTTGTAACAGAAAAAATGAAGAACAAGAGATTTTTGGTCATTTTTGAGGAAGATAAGTGAAAACTAAGTAATTTGAGGCCGAATAACCTTTATATGAGAGGAAAGTTGGCGGAAAATGAAGTAGAAGAAGACGACGAAGATGAGAGAGAGACGACGATGAAGGGTAGACGATGCAGGAGAGACGAGTAGAAAAAGAAACTTTCAAAGAAATAATTTGAAACAAAATAAAAAGATGATGGAATTGTGATGAAGTAGATGAATGAAAACCTATTGACAACATAATTATATGAGATTCTGAAGACAGAACGAATGCGACAACAACTAATGAATAAGTAATTAGGGCTTTTAACTAATTTCTCCTTTTTTTTCTCCGCAACAAAAAAAAAATAAGAAAAATATTAATATTTTCCGACAAATTTTAATTAAATAAGAACATTTTGAAGCAATATCGTTGGGCAATAATACATCTCCGCTCTCTCTCTCTCTTTCTCTGTCTCTTTATCGCTCTCTCTTTCTCTCTCTCTTTCTCCCCTCTCTGTCTCTTTCTTTTTACCTCTCTGTGAAAACAATAATTTCTGATGCAGAAGAGGTGCAAATGAGTCAAATTTATAAGATTTGTGTTCTTTGATCAAAAGGAATTCAGATTTATACTCATCTCTATTAGAGATTTATACATCTGAAGATGATCAAACGTTGAATGG